GATTGTGTTGATATCAACTCATTTGTTTGTCAAGAACCAGTTAATTCATTCATAATAATATTAATTATAATATAATAATCTCTCATTGAAGGAGAAGCTGCCGTATACAACCAATGCACAAGTACAGGCTGGATTGCGAAACCAAAAAAGAGTCGACGAGCGTCTAATGAATGTTTCCAAATCATCTGTAAGCCATTCCTCTCTTCTAACCATTATATTCTTAATTATGCTAATTTATATTTTATAGATTGTATTTTTACGTCAAAAATGTCACATACAACTATTATCTCATCATGACATTGATATAATAATGGAATATCGCATAAATTATAAAAAACAGATTTATACACTCAGTAATAGACCAATGATATCCAATTTGCGTCATCATCCTACATGTTCTCATTATAATGATATAAGACATGTATGTGATTGTTTGAAATAAACTTTTAAATAGTATATAGATAGATATGACTTGTTAGAATCATATACACAACCGCTCTGTACATCAACACTCAATAACAATGAAGATTGCATCAGGCGTCATTGTGATATGCAAATGAAGTAATAATGGCGCGAACTTTGAAAAACGTAAAGTGTCTTGTGTGGAAAAATATATTTCATGGATTTGAAAGATCTCTGGTCGGAAGTTTATCTTAAAGTTTTAACTTATACTATATGAAATAGAGAGAGGAAGAGTAAAAGAACTTCTTCAGGGTCATCGTTCTCCTGAGGGCAAAAGCATGACAAGCCCGATGAGATTGTCCCGCAGAGCGTTACATATCCATATATTACCCACTTTCTTCTATTCATCTCAATCTTCAATCCTTACTTGAAACATTCCCAATTTCACTAGAAAAACGTTTCAATTTAATTAAAAAAAAAGCTTTTTTTGCTGTATTTTTCATTTGAATGAACGAAAAGAGAAACAAAGAGGGAAAGAGAGAGAGAGAGAGTGTTGACAAGAGAAGGAGAGAGGGAAAGAGGGAAAAAAAGAAAAATTTGCATTTCTTTGGGAATCGTAGATTGCAAGAGAATTTGTTTTGTAAACAATTCAATTCATACTTCAAATGACAGCTTTATCATGTTGAGAAGAAGAAGGCAAACGAGCCCAGCTTGTACTTTTTCTCATTTTACAAGAGAAAACCTTTGATTATGCTCTCTCTCTCCTTCTCTCTTTATGCTCAGCTGAAAACCTTTCAAGCTGTTTCATTCACTCCACCCCTCAAATCTCTTTGCGTGTGCTTTCTCTCTGATTTCTATTCTATCTCTCTATCTCTTCATCCAATGATCAGAAGAATCTTTGTGCTTATAGTTAAAGCTAGAAAAGAAAAAGAAGCGGCCGCTCAGCTTCTCAGCCTTGTCCCTGGAGTCCTATCCATCCTAAGCTACGCCCATAGAAGACGTAGAAGACACGCCCCCTCTCAGCAAGCACTAACTCCGCTAGAGGTCCTGAAACAAGGAATTTTCAGAAAAATATTCCAAGAAAAATCTTATTCCTCATTAAATTTACTTATATCATATAGTATTGATGATAAGCATGTTTCGTTGTTCGTATCCTCCTTCACTCACTTGTTATTCGTCTTCTCTTGCTGTATCGATATGCTTGTGATAATTAAAGATTTTCCTTTATCATCAGATCCATCAACGTATTCGCTTCCTCATCCCCAGTTGAGACAATCAAATCTGTATTTTCTTCATTTTTTCTCATTTTCAAGTTTATTCTTCTAATTTTGAATTTCCATTTCCGCCTATGACTGAAAATATTTTTTTAATTTCATATTCATAAGCCCTCTGTTTCATCTGTGTTTAGCTGAAATGGTTCTGTGCACATGCGTTCCTTCTTGTTTCGAGTTCCTTCTTCTAATTATCTCCTTCTCCCTTCTTCCTTCCCTCTCACTCTTTGTCTTATTCGTATAACATAGAACATACTCGCTATAGCTATTCACGTGTTGACTTGATCCTTGTTATCATCGACCTTATCCTCTGTTCGCTTCCTCAACTCTATAGATCCATTCTTCTAAATATCTGTTATAGTGGTTGTTATGTGGAGATGAGACGTCCTCCGCTGCTTTTCTTTTGTGCAGTTTGCTGTCTCACTTTGGCTCAAAGTTCCCATGGTGTTTCATCATCAGAAGATAACGATCATGACGACAGTCAAAATTCTGTTCGCAGAAGCACAACGACGTCATCATCATCTACATCCAATTCCTCGACGTCGTCGAAGACGTCGACGACGACAATGAACAGCTTATCGTTGAAGGGGAATGAAGACAAAGAACAGTCTTCGATGAAACGACGAAAAAATTCGGAAATTAGGTGAATTCGTTTGTTTTTTTTCTTTTCTGCTCCTTCTGCTCATTCGTTTGCAATTCTCCCAATGCAGTTTATTGGCTCAAAAGAAAAGAAGTGTGAATAGACGAACCTCGTTAGAGGATTTTTCAAACAATTTTGAAAAAACCTCTTCTCTTCAGAGAATATCATATGCCATTAGGAGCACCGTTAAATGACGACGACGATGACGACGAGACAGATTTGGAAGATGACGATAGGAGCACCATGTCGTCACGTAACAGAAGAGCTTTTGGACGTAACGACTACCTGTTGCCAGAAAACTTCCGGACATTAAAACGACAGGATATTCCGGTGACATATCGTTTACATGACGATCTTCTTCGTTATTATAGGTAGGTTGAGTTACTTTATTATTTCGTCTCCTCTCCTCTTTGATGATGAAATTGAAAACTTTGTGTATTGCGACGAGTTCTATATGTCACATATTCTATTCTTCTTACTGCTTTTCCTTGTTGAATCTTCTCTCTGTATCTCTCTTCTCTCTTTCGTTTTCTCCCTCTTTTCGAATCATTTAGTCCTCTCATCACAATCCCCATAAATCTGACCGGAACTTATCCATGTCTAGTTGAGTTAATCGATTCCATATAAAGCAAATCGAAGCCGGAACAAAGCTTCAAAGCAACCCAGAACAAACTTTCAAAACGTTCCGTCTATCCTCAGAAGAAGAGGCAGAAGAAGAAGAGAAGGAATAAAAATCTCAGAGAGCTTCATCGATATCTGTTTACATGAGAAGACACAATGGCCGATTAAGGCAATCTCGGTAGGCTTGAGCTCTGTAATTAGGACGAATTGTTGCTTTGTGAGTTGAGATTGAGATGCGTATAAGTTTTTAAAAATTCTGAAGAGATATTGCAACATCACCTTACATGTGTACTTTGACGAAGATGAAACTCTTGTTTGATGAGATTTTCATTTCGTATGGATCGAATTACGATCTGATCATCCTTACATGACTACATGCTTAAAGGATGCTCCTAAAGAGTTCTGATGAATGATTCTCTGCATGTTGAAGCTAGATGAGATCCACCTGTCTCACGAACCGATACCTCTGATCATGCATAGTTGAACGTTCGCTATCCAGTTGTTATTAGCTTTTACCTCTTTTGAGAGTTTTGTTAGGAACGCAGTTGAATGTAATCTCGATTGAAGACTTCGTTCCATTACTCTTCTTCTTCGTTCCTTCATCTCTAAGCTGGTTAAATGGCCAAAACGAAAGTTTTCTCCCTCTCACTCTTTCCCTCCCAATCTTTCCTTCCTGACACTTTAAGCTGCCTGTTTGAGGTTTGAAGGGTATAGCTTGTATGGCTTTTTGACCAAAAACTTCGCCACAAACTTTCATATAAACAGAGTATGTTTGTTAGCCTTTAATCAGAGAAAGCAGGAGCAAAAGCTTCATTTCCGGTCAGAAAAAAAGTCTGAGTGCTGTTGAAAGCTTTCAGCATTTTTCTTGTGAAATTTCAGAGTTTTTGTAAAACATGTTTTATTGGTTAAAAATTGAATTAAAATTCGTCTTAAAACGAATTGTTCACACACAGACATATTTTGGTGGAAAAGTACAATTGAGGAGAGAGAGATTTATATGATATATTTCCAAATATGTGAAGATAGAAGAGAAGGCATTCGAAAGGGAATGCAAGCTAAGGAGGGTGTCAGCCGGAAATTCCTTTCGGGGATATTGGCTAATCATTGCTTCGAACTCATTTCCGGTCGCTATATGTATTACTGAACCTTTCAATCTCCAAGAAAACTTCATATTCTCAATTGAAAGGACACAAAAAGTGGAAAAGAGGGAAAAATGAGGCAAAAAGCAAATGTCAGGTTGAAGTGATGATATATGGAAGCAAAAGCTTTATATAACATTTGTGTTTTTCAGTAGGGTGTAACACACACAGAGAGAGAGAGACATGCAGAGGGGGTTAGGGAGTAGAGAACGTAGGGATTGGAAGAAGGGAGTTCCTCAAAAAAGAAAACAAAATCATTGTTATGTTCCTGTGTTGATATGTATCTCTTAAGAAGAAAGTTCTCAGATGTGAATAGATGCAAAAGTCTGACTAAACTGCCAGAATACACACTTCCTGTTTGTTTTGAATGAAAAAAGGAAGAACAAGAAGAATGATTATGGGGTCAACACAATACTTTATACATTTATAAGCTCATACATTCATCTTAATATACAATAATCAATAATTATAAACGAAACCCTTACCTTACCTCATATCCTCTGCCACCTTCTCACACGATTTGAATGCAACCGCTCTATGTCATCATCTCTAATCAAATGACTTTTTTGAATTATCATTGGCGCGCGTTAACGCACACACACGTGCATACACTGTTTATGCTAATTCCAATTGATTTTCAGGAAAGGAACCAGGCCAGTAACTCATCCGAATAAGATTGTATCCGTATCAATGAGTGTATTTCTTTATCAAATTATCAAATTAGTAAGTGAATGACTGTTTTGTTGATGATCGAATGACATTTGTCTGTTTCAGGATGCCGTTAAGAACACTATTAGTTTATCCGGTAGTTTTGAATTGGTAAGTCTGTTTTCAAATGAATTTTTATATCAAAAAGAGACACATAGAGAGAAAGAGAGAGATAGAAAGGATAAGAAATATAAAAAAAAAACAATTTTTAAAGCATTTTCATGGAAGACGCAAATCCACGTCATCCACACTAACGATATTATGTAAATAATCGAATGTTCGTCGATATCTGAAAAAGAAGAGCAGAGAGTTAAGCTTTGCTTTGATTGTTTCGTACCTCTTAAGCCATTTCCTTGTTTGTCCTCTAGAATCAGTCATAATTACACGTTCCTCAAGTAAATCTGGTTGGATGAGAAGGAACATGCGACGAGACTTAATAATGATTGAATCATAGTAATGAAAGAGATGATGATGCACAAACATTTTGAAATTCCATATGAGATCCTAATATAGATTTCTTATAAGTTGTTTCAAGTTTTATTGATTTATCCCTAATTATACCTTCTTCAATTATCATCATGCCTGAAAATTAGATTCAAATTAGCTCCGTTTAATGGCGAAAATGTCAAGTAAAGTTCTCTCTTCTCCGTTAACTATGCGTATATAGTTAATATGAGGCCGTTTCTTAAGCAATGAAATGTTTTGGCAAGAGACAACTTTTAAACTTTTCTTTTGCAAAGTAAAGAGAAAAACGAAATGTCGTTCTTCATCTCCCTCCTTCTCCTCCTCCTCTTTCTTCTCTTATCTACTCGTTCTCGTTTCTTGGCTTCATAATGAATAATGAACGGATCGACATAATATTGTCGAGATGTTTGTCATCGTTGTTACGAAGGATTCTGAATCTGCAACGTCAACAAGACAGAAAAATCAGAATTTTACGTTTGGAACAGATGAATATGATCATCTTGGTTGTTTTCGCTCAAACACAGCTGATGATGGAGAAAAGGAAAGGAAAGTCGTAAATTCTTAGCAAAAAAGAAAAGAAAAAAGAATGATGCTGAAGACATGGCAGCGGAAAGAGAGGCGCAGATGAAGCATTTGTTTTAAAATGGTTTTGAGAGGAATATTTAATGAAATTCTCTGAACTTTTGTAATTATTTTATGTTTATGGGGGATCGAAGGGAAATACGAAGGGAGGGAGGGAGGGAGATGTAGAGAGAGAGAGAGAGATTCATGTCCTTCCATATATATCCAATGCAAATCTACCAGTCGTCATGTCTTTTCCCCTAGGGAGACATGGTCCGAAGACGTTTGGAGTGCTCTCAGGGCAAAAAATGTAACCTCTTGTGTCAATAAGAGAATCAGTTTGAAGAAAAGCTAACTGAATGCTCTTAACGTATTCTATAGAGAGCATTTCGAGATTTCCATTGTCTTTTATCAAGTACAAAATGAATTAAAACCTTTCTCACTAAAAAAATGTCCTTATGAACGCGAAGATGTATTGATGAGCAAGAGAGAGAGGGAGAGAGAGAGAGAGGAAGAGAGGAAGAAGAGGGAAGTTCTCTCCATCCATTCAATGCTTTGTCTTTAATCAGCTTCTGTAATGAAGCTTAGAGTTGAAAGAGAATCGTCTTCCATTCGCATTCATATTTCTTTGGGTGGCGTGTCTTTCGTTTGCCTTTTGAATGATGTTTTATATTCTGTTGTAAACAATATTCTTCTGATTTATACCAAATTTGGTAATAAATTTCTGGAGGGCATAATCATTCAAACGAGAGAAGAGGAACCAAAACTCTGCCGGAACTTCCTTTCATATAGGAGTTTGTTAATAGCCGGAGGGGATGTGTGTCTCTTGCACGCTACAAACCTGTATTGCCAACTGTTTCAATAGCCACTTTATCTTCTCCAAGTTTGGGTTTGTTTTCATCAATAAATCCCGTATCCTCATTGAATGGCTTACTGGTCATAAATCCAAGTTCACGATGAATATCATCTCCATTTATGGAGATGGCTAAAGTGCTGCAAAAACTTCAATTGAAATTTCCATTTAAACTTGAGTATTTGGATTGCTTCTACTTCTCAAAAGATCTACTTGACCATTTATGGGATTAAATTCCTTTTCACAATCATGTGATGTCATAGAAGATACTTTGGAGAATAAGCCACCAGATTCCTACCTGATATTCACAGGGGGACGGTCGAAAGATGGAACATCCGAGATCTGGACTTCAAGAATTTCACGATAAGCTCCGTCTATTGGCTCCGGGAATCTGAAAGTCAGAACCTCACTTAAGTCATTTTATGGATGAGGATCGAGATATCAGAATTTTTTTCTCCTTTATAGCCCAGACCACCAAAGGCGGCTCATTGGATTGAGTAATTTTTCAAAAACCTCTCTTTTAACTGTGAATTATGTTCATTCGTAATTGATTCTTCCAACTCTGCTGGAAGTCAGATGAATCTCGAATCTAATGACTATCGTGGGGGATTTCTATTGACTGCTCGGTTTTAACTCTGGCTTTACCTATCTCCAGCGTTTGTCCGAGTTTCCCATCTGCCAACCAACCAAGCTATGTTATCCAGGATAGGAGGAAGAGTCAAGGGCAGTCCTACGAGTTATGGGTATTGTTTCGGAATAAGGAGACAAAGCTCACTTTTTCCGTTTCCTTCACAACTTCCGCAACTCAAAGCACAGTTATCAGCAAAGAAAGGACTGATAGGTCTGGTCCAACTGCACCGACGTTCTTCTTTCCATCTGGCACAGCTTCGGTAAACATCCTGACAGGGACCTAAGGGCGAGAGTGAAAAGTTCAAAAGTTCGTACATCATGTGAAAGACTTACGAGAGCATCCTCGTCCCATCCAGCCTCGGGGACACTTACAACGATTTCCTAGACGGTGGGATTCACATATTCCTCTACCACAGTCCTGCTTTTCTACAGAACAGAAGTCAATGGCTGAAAAATAATGTTTGAAATTGATCGAATTAGACAAATCGTTTGACGGTCATCATCATCAAAGATCAAATTGTGTTGAAGCTTGTAAAGCTTGTTCGTATATCTTCCCAAATAAGGCCTTACTCAAGCTTGTGCGTTCTACATCCTCGCAGAGGGCGAAAACCCGAAAGAAAGAACATATTTGTTTTCTTTTTTTCTGTTTTTTTTGCTTCTCTCAAGCATTGTTGTTTCAATTGTCTAAATATCATTCTCATAAATCGCCTCTTTGTATGAGTTGAAATGACGTCACTTCTTCAGTTGAGAAAATTTATTTTGGATTTTCTTGTTGTTCTGCGGTCATATGGGACACGGAAAGTTGTTAAAAAAAAGAATTTTTGATGAAACTTTTATACAACGAGAGAACGATAAGAAGAGAGAAGCTGAATCAGGAAGAACCGTTCCCTGGAGGACTCGTACGCCATCTGTCACTCATACATACAAAGAGAGAGAGAGAGAGAGAGAAAGCGAGATAGAGAGAGAGAGAATAAGAAAGAAAAGTATAAGAGAGAAAAAGAAAAGATTTCAGAAGAGTAAGGTTCTCTTCCATAGAAAAGAAGTTTTCGAAAATATTCAGATGAATTACAAGTTTAAGACATATAGCCCGTTTTTTGACCAAGAAAGGACAGATACTCGTTGTGCTTGAAAGAATAACGATTTTCTTTGAGTCATCATGCTTAGTAACATTATAATAAGAGAAATGATAACATTGGCTTAGAGAAGGAAGTTCTCTTGTAATAACTTGATAAGACATCTCTCAGATCAAGTTTCAACACAAACTGTTCTCAAATATGAAACTTCATCTCAACTTTTACCATATTTGGATGGTTCCAAACACATTCTTCAATCCTACTGATGTTTTTGAGATTTCAAAAAGATGAAACAAACGAAAAAAAAAGAAAAAAACCTGTTTTGCTGACGACTTGAGCTGAAGACCATGCCGTAAGGAAGCAACAAGTCAGAAAGAATTGTCGAATCATCTCAACACCCTACCTGTAAACATAGTTTAACAAGAGAGAGAGATAGCATCTTGGCATATACGATAGGAGAAAGATACATATAGGAAGTAATGAACATGAATTTCAGTATTGGATTGATGAATTCCTCAGATGGTCACCTGAGAGCTATGAAGGAGCTACAGAAATCTTCCTGACATCATCAGATATCTGGATTCCAGAGTTCTCGTTATACTACAGGTAAAGAGAGAATGCAAAATGCATGTAAAAAGAAAAGACAAAAGGAAATAAAAGAAATATAATGTTTAAAGGACATTTTCCATATCCTTGACAGTCAGGCTTCTGCATTCAGCTGTTGTCAGGTATGGCAAGAGATAGGGTGGAGAAAGATGAAATAAAGAGAAAGTTGGCGATTTTTTGAAGACAAACTGTTTTTCAAGATAATATTGAAAGCAAACTAACTGTTAAGAAATGGAACGCAAAGAAACGAAGCAAGGTAATATGGCTAAGACACTTAAAATAGCCAATGGATTGCCATAAAAGGCAAAAGACAACAGTTCTCAATAAACGGGTTTTCAATCTAGTTTAAGCTTTATCATTTCCTTTTTTTTGTTTTCAAGTATTACACAACTTTCCATACATAATGAACAGAAAAAACACTTTTCAAGAATTTCGATCAAAATTGAAAAATTCGAAGAAGGAAGGTTAGCAACTGCACTCTCATCCATGTGTGTCTGTATATGGTATGACTGTGCTGCACCTCTCATCAGTTCGATCACAAAAACAACAGAAAGTGTCTTGCAAAAGAGAAGGAGAGTAACTTAGCAAGCTTCTCTTCATCTAGTCTTGGTATTGAAATGGAAAGTATAACTGAGAACGCGAGAAAAAAAGAAATGGTTGTTTCCACATTCTCATCTTCACTTTAAAACTGCCAAGTTGATTTCGGATAGACACTCAATCAGAACGAAACAGTTAGAAATCGTTATTATTGGCTTTTCAGTTTGAATTTCAATGATGCCGTCAAACTTCAATCGAATAACGACATTCGGGTAAACTATACCGGACATGTCAGATACTACATTCCGTTTTCATCTGAAAGTTTATGCAAATTAGACGTCAAGTTTTTCCCATTTGATAAGTAAGCTTGATAACGTGCTCTAATGCTAATTCGAAACTTCTTCTTCAGACAGAAATGTACATTACTGTTTGGTTCGTGGGCTCATTCGAATGATTCTATCAAGTACTCGTTGTATTCACCAACACTTTCCCTTATCGACTTCTATGATAACCAGGAATGGGAACTTGTCTTCGTAAGTTATTTATATTAAATATAAATATAAACATGTCTACGAATATACATATATGGATGTTAGTTTCGTATGAAAATCTTTTCCATTTTCAGAATGAAAGTAAAGTGGAATCGAATGGCTTCCTTTACGATTACTTGGATCCACCATTATTCTGGGAAATGATCATCATAGATCTGGTTGTGGAAAGACAAAGCTTTTACTATGGTATGCTAATTTTGACGCGCGCCGCACTCACGCCAATTCAATCATTTTTGAATTTGCACTCGGCTCGAGTGGTCGAGTGCATGGCGCGTGGTTATTGCATTCAGAACATCGTTTTCTAATTTTTTTTTCTCATACACTTTCTTTCAGTATTCAATTTGGTGATTCCCAGTACAATCATAACTCTGGTAGCAGTGGTTGGTTTCCATACGCCAAGCACAAGTGGAAGAGTTCGGTAACCATCAATGATCACATTTCAATTCTTTCAATCTGAAACCTCCAGAGATGCGAAATTCCGTCTTGGTATCATGACTCTTATGAGTATGTCCGTCATTCTACTTGCCATCGTCGAAGATATGCCGAAGTTTAGTATGTCCACAGCTAGGAAGGGGAGAGGCTCTTTTTCGGGAATACCGTTGATTGGTAGTCAAATCATCGTCTTACACGAGTTTGAAACTTTCTAATTACAGGTCTATACTACTTCATTCTGTTAGCAATTATTGGTCTTTCAACTGTCACAACATCGATGTTTGTGTTCTTAGAACGCGATGTTCGTGTTAAGCATGATATACCTTGGTATTTAAAATGGTTGGCGTTCGACATAAACACAGGCCGAATCGCTAGACGTTTAAGTCAGTATCACCGACATGTTGAAGATCCACAATCTAGTGTACGGCGGATTCTGTTTTGAAAAAAAATTTATTTTCCGTTTTCAGGATCACTTGTTGTCTAATGGTCATGTTCAAAGTGGGATCAGGGACAAGGCGCGTGGAGTTGCGGTGTCTCTTCTTAGCCTGTTGCCTAGACAATCGATTGATAATAACAACTCTTACCAAATGCAACCACCTGTGCCAAGCGAAGTAGGAATAGAAACTTAGTCTCATAACTGAATGAGCTTTTCAGAATACAACTCCTCAGCGTCATTCTTTGAGACGACGTATTAGCGTAACGCAGTATGATAACATGGTCTTGTATCAATACTTTGAACAAGTCTTAGAAGACCTTATTGGATGTGTTACTCATATCGAGAAAAGTGTTTCCGGAATCAGGTTGAGAAGAAACGGTAATCAGATTATACAGGGAACGTTTAGACAAGAGATGCTATCCTTAGTTCCTCAAGATGATTTGAACAGTCGCTGGCAAACAGTCATTAGAAGATTGGAAATCATATCGCTCGTGTTTTACGTATCAGTTCTTTTTATAACAATGTATCTCTTTTTCTATCACGACTGGTAAGTGAAGCTAGTACCTTCTGAAGAACATTTGAATCGTTCTAGGTATTGCGCGATTGGGCACAATCCCTGCGGCCAAGTCAATCTCAAATGCCCCTGGATGGTTCCTATAACCGAAGACCCTCAGTGTGAACATAACACTTACAATTGATCTTTATCAACACGGGTGTTCATAGTTACCTTAAATTTCAAGATAAATGCTCATGTTCTCTGTATAAAAGAATAAAGCTATATGACCTGTTTGACAAACTCTATATATCCACGAGCAATAAGATATTCATCTCCCCCCGAGTTCTTGGAACGATTATGGACTCAAATGGACTAGAAGTCTAGACAATTATGTAAATTAGCCCAAAGGCTATCAAATAGCAACGTTTCTAATTCATGAAAATGGGAGTGTTAGATATTTCAATGTGCATAAGAAAAAAAAGATAGGACCTGATAAACATTTATATCACGCCAATAACAACATCTTAACAATTTACTTGAGCTCCTTGACTTGGATTCCAGGAGGAAGAGATTGCTTAAGCTTGTCAGCCTTCTCCTTGTCCTACAAAATGCAATCAATTTAGAAACGAAAAGCGATTCAAAAACTTACAGCGACGACTAAGGTGTACAGGTACTTGCTGCAACGAACTTTGAACTTGGTGTTGTTCTTGTTCTTCTTGATCTTGACAGAGCGAGCATCCTTTCTGCGAGCCTTTACAAGGAACTCCTTGATTTCAGCAATTTGCTTAGGCATGATATTACCTTAAAAACACAAGTTTAAACTAAAATTATTTAGTCGGATAAGAGGAATCAACAAGGCTATAGCAAGGAGACAATAAACAATCGAAATCTAACTGATTTAACAAAAAAAGAACCTTATTAATCGTAAAACAAATTGCAAACCAAATGTAAAGAAAATCGTAGGACATGTGAAATATACGAGAGCCACGTACTACGGTATTGGGGAAATCGTTGTGGGATGCAAAGCGACGGCGAAGAGTAGCACAACGGAACTAGCTATGCTATCGGTGGTAAATGGGTTTCCGCTCGAGACACTGACTGCAACAGTCCTTGAATACGGAACGTTCATTAACAGCTTATCCCATTATCTCTGATAAGTAATCACGTAAGATATGTAAATGAGCTGGTTCATTTTGTTCTCCTTATTAAGTGAGTAGCAAGTTATTGTGAAACACGTAACAGACGGCAAAGTCATTTTATTTTAAAATGATGAGGAATGTGGTTGTATGATCATATATGGACGTGCATATATCGCTTAATCATATGCACATCCATTTATTTTTATATAAAAACATTTCTTGTAAAAAGTATTTTCATATTCCTCTAATTACTGTGACGCTGCCAACTTTCGTAATTGGCTAAGCTGGAATTTCTGAAACGAGATCATTTATTTTAATTGGCAATTGTGCTTAAATCTCGCCTTCAGGCTCTTTGAGTTATTTATACATTCCTATCGGCGCCGCGTATAGGCTATAGGCCGATCTGCGTACGTCGTAGATCATAAAATTAGCATATTGCGTGAAATGCGCGTGCAGTCATTTTTTGAATTTGAAACGGAGCATGCGGCTGTGTTTTTTTTCAGGAATCAAATTTCGTCTTAGTTTTAGCAGAAAGTGAATTTTCAATGAAGGTATAGGTCGTTTGTCAAAGTTCATCCTGATTATTGATTCTAGTATATTAGGAGTCCATTAGGGAAGAGGGTCTCCAATTCAATGTTTCTTTTTTTTGGTGGTGAGTCGAGCAGTATCGGAATGAAAATCTTATATAGTACGACAGAAGATGTTACGGTATATCGGAATAATTTCTCAAAAATGCAATTCCATCTTTCAGTTTGAGCATGAAACGGAAAACATGAAGCAATGGTGTTTATCTCTACAGTAGGGCATTACAGTTGCAAAAGCAAGGCGATGGAATCAGTTGACCCCTTATGTTGTACTCGAGATTGAAAGGTTAGTTTCTTTATTCCTTGATAATGTTCTCTCGAAAACTTAGGTAACATATCCATTAAAGGCTTCGCCGAAGTAATAAAATGTTAGGATAATCCATGTAGTAAAGCGGGAAAACTGCTCTGATTAAGGGAAGAAGGCTTTACGGTTTTAGCGGAATTTTGTTATAATCATTGCATTTTTATGCAAGGTATTGCACCATCTAGGTCATCAATGTACTTGCCATTAGAAAATAGCACTCTTCTCTGCTTGAGATTTGTCTTTGATATGACAACTTGGCCTAGGATGGATTGACCTATAACTCAGACGATGCCTATCTGCAATAATTTTGGCATCATTTGTCGAGAAAATAACCTAATACAATTTCCATTCACAGGCGTTTCGTTTAAATTGTTCTGTTTCAGATTAGGAATATGGATGAATTAGAATCTTACCAGCTACCATGCAGTACTGATTATAGGAAATTGTATATATCAACAAATGATTCGATGATTAGTAGAGTAAGGGGTTAGATGCTTGAACGAATGTAAAATGGCTTTTTTCAGTTTATGAATATGTCTCACCCCTATACATATATTATGGAAAAGCTTTACGATGAAGAGCGTATAACTGTTGTAGCAATAGGTAATTCATATCGCTCTCATATTGTTAGAACCCGCCATTCAGAGAAAGAAATAGAAACTGATATTACCTCCGATCTCCATTTTAAAATTGCTCTCTCCAAAATGCCCGATTGTGCCATCGCTATTGATGTAGTTCACACCAAAGACTTCGAAGATGTAGATTTCCGTTTTGGAGAACATACAATCGAACGAATAGAAGACACGACAGTTTTCAATGAGAAGCCCAATTTGAGCGTTCTCAAAGCTGCCAAGTTTCAGAGAAATGTTATGAAAGCAGGTTTAATACTAAATTCAATTATGGTAGTCATTAATTTTTTTAAGGAAGTAGGATATCCGACACATTGTCACCGAATCCATTTTACTCTGAGAAATACGAAAATGCCGAGAATGAGACGGAGTGCAAACCACATCCTCTCTATCTCATAGAAAGAGCCATGAGTATGAGAGATCAGGAAGAATTTGATAGAAAAGTAAGATTGTCCTCAACGACGGTGATAACTAACGCATTGCACTTTAGTTAATTGAATATTATGCTGATAACTGCATTGATCTCAGAAGAAGGCCAATTGAATTTCATGTAAGAACTTACTCAATGAATTGAACTCATCTTGTTTTCCAGGATGCGAGTGGACCTCAGTGCTTCGGTGAAATCATCCACGGCTTTGCTAATCTAGTCAAGAGAGTTCATTGTAATTCCTGCTTTGCACGGATGAATCTGGCCATATTTCATTTAGGTTCGTGAATGACTTACTTCACGAACGAAGTTAACGTATCCAACTTGACGCTTGTTAAGACTCAAGATGATTATTCATTGTCCCTGTTCCAGATAATGCTCTGAACTGTTCTGGTTGTCATGCTGATGAGAAGATTGGTTCGAACAGACCTTATATAGTCCCACGTGGAGGCAACAATCGATATATTATGTCAGAGAGGCCGAGCTATTTAACAGCTTGTAACAACAACAACAACAACAACAATAACAATAATGATGCCAAGAAGCAGCATGACAATAACAATATTCCGGTGATCCCAGACCACATCAAGGAAGAAATGAGGAAGAGCAGGAAAGGACTCGAGCAGAGCAGCAAGGGAAATCAGTCTCGTTACTCCATGGGCACTCCAATAGTTCTTGAGGCTACTTCTTTCGGGGAACCATTAGTAGAGGATTCATTGAATAAATCCCAAATTGATATCCCACCGGTTGAGCACCTGGTTCTATCATCTGCTTCTGACCTTTATGGAGAACCGCTTATGCAGGAATCTAGGTCATGGGTCACGACAGATGTTTCCAAATTTGACTCTTCAGATTCTTCAGATTCTTTCACCAATTATAAAGAGAATGTGGAAGATAATGATAGTGTCCAATATCATCTCAAACGTCAAAGCCATGGAAAGGCGAAGGAAGAGCCTCTGTGTCGTTCCTCTAATGATTATACTAAAAACCCCATTAATTGTTTTCAAGTGCCTCAGAGTGGTCCCATTCCTTTTATAGTAGAGGAAGCTCTTATTGATAGTACAGCTGAAGCCTTCAAGTTCCTGCGAGTCAATCCTGACCCTATACCATCTTCACATTGTCTAAAATGGAAGAAACTTCCTCAAGTTTACACCGTAAGAAACAAAAACGCCGAACCATGTGGTAGAATGACTGCCAGCACTCTTGGAGACCCTAGGTTCAATCGGCATACCGAAACAGTCAATGGAAAGACCCGTGGCACACTATATTTTGCCGTTAGCTACGAAATTGACAGTCGTTATGTGTTCGAGTCTGCGCATCTTGGTCGCACTGATGTTCCCGCCGACATTATGGAAGACGAACAGGAGTGTGAGAACGAAGAACTTTGCATGTGCAATAGGAAAAGGGAACTTTCTTGTATGCCTGAATTGGAAGTGAGAAGATTGCGTCTGTCCAGCCCGACCAAAGAGGAAAAAGTTCCCAAAGAACTCCCATCTTCTCTCAAATTCGGACATGAACGAGAGAAAAAGAAGAAGTTCAGTCTTTTGAAGTCGAAGAAAGCCATTTTCAAACCCTTCCACAGTATTTTCAGTTCCAAGAAATGATCTGTCTTTCATGCTGATTTGCCTTACACATTGTTATTCAATAATCACATTATGAATAAAGTTGTTGTTGTTTTCAAACAATCTTTTATTTGTCATTGTGAATGTTTTGATTTCCATTAGCAATATTCAACTTTTGATCTGCATCCGTAACTTATTGAGCCGTTGGCAAAACACCGCCTCTCACGATCATGGGCGTGGCTTCAGCCATACAGCTTTGTTGCGCAAATCAGTCATCTCGCCATTCGGAACCACATATCCTTCAGTCCGTTTAGGTCCAACCTCGAAGAGCTGTTGGTTACTTCCCAGCAGGTCCTTATAGGGCCACAACGACATATGCCTAGATTTTTATTTATATCTTCTTTATATGCATGAACCAATACTTGCTCTTTCCATGAAAGGCGAAGACATACAGTTTCTGTGCCTCTATTTCTTCATCCAATCTTTTTTTGAATTCTATCCTATCCCCTTTATCATTTATGTAAAAGAATCCGATCTTAAACCTCAGTTGAGTTCCTTCGAGACAATTTCTTCACAACATACCACTATGGCCCAATGGGCTGTGTGTCCGTTCTTGGCACACGGACTAAAATTCCGATCACTATCGTAAGGAACCAGAAGAACTTCTTCGTTTCCTAATCCGCTCACTACTCGTTCGGGTGAAGGGAACTCTTCTACTTCTCCAACAACAGCATCATTCCATAACTCCTCAGTCAGTTTCACTAGCCAGGAAGCTGAAAAAGCCTCAATCGTCTGACCCACTTCAGTAATAGAGTCAAGCGTTTGTATTGTGTCTTGCCCTCCACTCTGAACTCGAATTACCTGAGAACATTTCCCCGAAATTGGTTAATTTCAACTCTTTCGCCTTCTGTAACACGTTATCAAGTGAGTACTCTGTAACATTGAAGAGTTTGCCCGTCATTATTAGTGCAGCTAATCCACAACTGTAACTATGAAGTAAAAGGGGAAATGGTTGAACAGAAACTCACGTGGGTCCAACTTGAGCTGTATAAGAAACTTCTCTATAATAAACGAAAGCACCGCATAGTCTATCATCACTATCATCAGTATCAACTTTTACAATATTCGAATGCTCAGCCAATACTGCTTCTATTCTATAACATAAGGGAGGTGGGAAAGAGGCACTTTCCATTTATATTGCGGGCTATTGTGCTTTAATGCCCGGACGAGTTAGTGTAACTTTTATTTTAGCATTGGCGCTGATTTTCTCACTCGAGCGCGAGTTTGTTCTTCGCTCTCTATTGAAATGAATGAGAGTTTATGATTAGCAGAAGTTCTCATCGGCGCTTATCCCCACAAAACTATTAGTTGTAAATCAAAATCTTCCTGTAAGACCTATGTTATCTTAATATTCATCTGACATTGATAGTCATACAGGCAGACGTCAGGATTATCCGCTAGTTTTCTGCTCTGTCTGCAGATTAACCTACTTCTCAAATCGCATTACCTGTCTTGTGAGATAATCTTCGTTTTGTTTCTCTAACCGTTCGTTCTCCTTCTTGTTGCTTTCTTGTACTTCTCGAAGTTAAATGTCTTTCTTAATGCCACATTTTCAGAATGTCGACCTATTTGGATAAGAAGTACGGAGAAATGATCCCGGAATGTAGCGTCAATGAATCCGAGGAGAAGTCTGCTCCTGTGAAGGATATTGAGTTCCTCGAGCCGAAAGCTCTGAATGAGTTTGAACTGGAAGATGAACAGTGAGTTGCACATAGTAACATTATCAAGAGATACTTCTTATTCTTCAGCTCATACTGCTTGACAGCTAACGGAATGAAGTTTGAGAACCTGAATCTTCAAGAGAGCAGTTTCAGTACAACTCTCAATTACTATACGGTTTGTTTTTACAATACGATTCCTTGTTTTATGTAGCTGCTTTTAGTTCTTGATGGATTTCATCTGTCTGATGAACCATGATGTCAAACTCTTCTGCCCCACCTGTCCAGATGTGTATGTGCATTTCAAGGTTATCAGTAAGTGAACAAAGTCAACTTTCTTTTCTATCTCTGAATTCCAGAGATTTACTCTACTGAGAAGACAGAAACAGGAGTTTCTGGAATGAATGGAGGAGAGTTCTGCTATTACAGTGAAGTTACTCTCAAACATTTTCCTCTAGCTGTTCTTTGCTCTGGCTATGGCTTAACGTAAGATCCCTTTCACAGTATATATTTAATCTCCAATTTTCAGACCTGACTTCGCAAAGAGCTCAGCTTCCAAAGTCTTGATTGAGCTTTGGGGAAATATGAATCTCTTACCAAACTTCTTGCTCCATGATATAGCTACATCTGGATCAAAACCTCACACCTATCCGAAAATCACCGAAATTCTTTTGGGTTTCCTCCCCACATTACTACGTCATAACTGCTTGAACATTGACATGACTGAGAATTCTTTCGTAGATGTCTCCTCTCCAAAAAAAGAAGAAACAGAAGGAGAGACGGTCCACATCCATCCCACTTCTTGTGATTCTAATTCAAACTCTAATTCTAATGCTTGCCTCTTCTTCACTCAGAAATGTTTCCCTCTCAATGATGAAATCCTACAGAACATCATGGTTTCCTATCCCAACCAGACTATCATAATTCATCCTTGGTTCATCAGCGGCTCCAATCATCCGTATTTCCATTATTTGCCTAGTAATATGAAGAAAGTGATTGTTCAAAATGAAATCAACACATATGAATACATCAGAAAAACGGTTCGATTGGAAGAGCGCCAAAAGATTATCGACGAATTCCCTCCTACCGTTAGAGATCTCTTGTACTCTCAGAATATGAAGAAGCATTTACAAAATATCCAAACTGTCGACCCTAAGCCTAACACCTTCAGCTTGTTATGCTGAAGATCTATTACTGTAAGGAGCTTTCTCTCTGTCCGTTTTGTCTCCTCCAACGTCTGATAGCAGATAGCCGGAACTACTATAACGGATCGCGATTGGTTGTTTGATGTTGTAAAATATACCCGCCAGTCGTTTTGCGCCGTACTTCAGTTGCGTTTTCAACATCTAAATTGATTTTTTGTTCGACCTTAGTGTTTGCATGCTACTATCATCTCTATTTTGTATATCATCTAATCTGCAGATTGTTATGGAGTTGTCTCTAATCATACTTGTTATATCTGTCTTGCATTTTTCGTTTATTACTACTGTCGTTGTAGATTCAATTAGCTTTAGATCTAGATTTGATGAGCATATGAAATGAAAATTATTTTTGTAGTTTGTAGCTTTGACTTGTTCACTTACTTTTTAAAAAACCAGATGCTTCATACTGAGAACGTGGACTAATCACAATCTACAGTAACCACTTTGAAATTCAAATAAGTTGTAACTGCGCACCAGCTGAGAATCCGAAAGAAAGCTCACCTTTGAGAAAAATATTAGAACGTGTGTGAATGCTTTTTCTAGACATGATATAATGAGTTTTGACATCAACCGATCACTGTCCTATTTATGCATGAAATGATCGTTATTTATGTTTAGTTGTCACGTCGGCCTCACGTGTAATTAGCATACGTGGGAAAGTTCAGGTCGAATAATATAATTTAACGTTCTCAATGTTCTAAATCTGAAAATGGCTTGTGAAAAGAAACAAAATGAATGTCTATATCCGTAGTATTATTTTCAGGGAAATGATGAAGTCTAGGAGATGTTGTAAAACAACTTTCTGTCTTTACCTAGGGTGGATTGTGGACCTAACCTGGTCGTAAATAGTAAATTTCGCAACAATATGAAGAAATCATACAGTTAAAACATCCTTTGACGGCAAGAGTTATTGAGTAAACTATATTCATCCGGGAAAAAAACACAAGCTTGACGGGGATGTACGTGAATCACTTATCATGCAAACGTATGATACGCAGCCATCAAATTTTTTAGGTAAATCACGGAAATTTGAATATCTGTCATTACGTTAACCAAGCTTCTTTAATTTGTAAATTTTTTTTTTAATTACTCATTGGCTTTTGATTTGAAAAACAATTCTCACGGAAGCGTGTGTTGTGTATAGTATATCAGAATCTGAATTATCTTCAGGAATACTAAGAAGCTACTCGATTCTGTTCTATTTTTTGTTTTTAGATTGAGGATTTTTGAGATTCTGTTCATTCTGTACAAATGACTTCAAAATCAAAAGAAAAGCCAGTAGGCATGGCTGATTTGCTACATTGTATGATCTGCTTCGTAAGACCTGCTGGTCGGAATAAGTTTTTTATAAGCAGTTGTGGCCACGTATTCTGTGAGAAATGCACAGACGATGGTATAGATCTGCAGTCATAAGAGAGCTAAAACATATCTTCCTAGATATCCTCCTCCCTTGGTCTACATGTAAGAAATGTCACAATCCTGAAGCTCGCCTGTTAGAAATTAATTCTTCACTGCCACCTGAGGTTAGCGAATGTTCTCAGTTCACTCATACATTTGTGCGAAGGTTCGAGATCTCTTTCTGCCATTGGAAGAAACGTTGGAATCCTTTTTGAAAGATTTGAACAGAACTTTGAAATTCCAAGAAAATCATAGAAATCGGATGATGAAACATCTCGCAGGGAAAGTGAGAAGCTAACTCTTTATGTTCGCTAATCTACTTTGCAGGGCGACCAAGTTGAGAAACTACAAAAATATTGTAAAACCGAAGTGAAAAAACAAGAGGCGTACCGACAGTACTTCCTGGAGTATAAAAACTGATCTCATTGTCGTTGTTACAGAGAGGTGGCGAAGTTAGAAGAGTTCAAGAGGAAGGCTGTAAATGAAATTCGTAGATTAAATCACAAGAACAAAGCGAAGAAGATCCCTGATCCTAACACTACTATTTTGTGAGTGCTCCGTGTTCTGCGTCAGTGTGAAGATTTCTTTTCAGAGCTTCCAATCTCCAACCTCCTGTATCTCGCAGGAAGCCCAGCTTTGTTACTTCCACTCCTCTTATTAGTAATCGTAATCAACTGTTTATTACTTTCTCTCAGTATCACCATGTTTCAGATTCTTCCACTGCAATGGATGATTTGCAATTTGATCTTGATATTAGACTTCCGATGTGCGACGGAGATGATGGTGATGATGACGATAATGAGGTGCTTTTCACCAAGGAACTTTATATCATTTTTATTATTAGATTAACAATATGATTTCTGCAACATCCAACTGCAGAGTGACTCCCAGGGAACCTCCACCTCTTGTCGTATGTTCATATTAGAAACTAACTGTGAACTTACTTATCCAGAGAAAGTACACTTTGAATCCACAAGCTTGTAAGAAACGCGCAGTGAGACCGGAGCAGTTCGTAGAGCCTCAGCGGTTTCCTTCCTCAGCGTACAGAACACCAACTACCAAGAAAACGTGAGTATTTCTATATATTTTTGAAGCTTAAGCGTGTCGCTCATATTTCAGAAGGATGGACGTGGGTGCGTTTGCACAACCATTCAGACTTCCCAAGAGGTTATAAAACTGTTAATTTACTATTTGTTAAGCTTGCTGTTATTTTTATTGTTTGAGTTTTGATGGATTTGTGAATTGATGACTTTGTAAAAACTGAAATGAACCTGTGAATAAGGAAGTGTTTGTACTCCGTTTACAAGTGCAACCGTTCGCTACGTCTGTTTCAATGAAAATGAAAATGGTTGGTGACATCCTGCCCTGTTCCACGTAAAGCGCACGTGAGATTTATTTCGAAATCTGGTACCATACCATCCTGTTTTCATTATTGTGTTTTCTTCAGTGTTCTGAAGAACCCGCGTATTTCCATTGCTATAAGGGACTGCATTTCAACTCGGCGAAAGATAAGGAGCAGGAGTAAGACGATAATTAGTTTTATTACGATAATATACAGCGAGTTTTACATTTCTCAAATTTTTTAGTTCTTGAGTTGATGGTTGGCCAAAGCGAATCCGATTCTTCCTTGTCCGACATCGTAAACTTGACAGTAAGTACGGATGAAAGTATCTCCAAGAATCCAAGTTGGGCCTCCGAATCCGGATCCCATTCCGAAGAAAGTGAGAACACACTAAATTGAATACATTACTTATTCGTTCTTTCTTTAGAAATCAGTCTTAGGTATCAACTGGACTCACTCTGTTTCTGCTGAGTCCGAGATCAAGAACATATTCGACTGATGGAACGTTGTATTTGTTTCCACCAATAGTGAAGACTAAATCTGGGAGAGAGTTTTGGTTTGCGCATGGAACGGTGTAGAGTTGATCGACGAAGTCATAAGTAGCCTTGGTTTGCTTGACGATCTAAAGATTCAAGATTAGTATTGAATAATCATGTTTCATTCATACTCCACTGAGAACAGCGTCTGGGACTCCAATCCATGAGGTACCGGTGTCAGAGATGACTTGATCAGCCTTGTTGTATGAGTAAGATCCGATGGAGAAGGAATCTTGGGTGAATTGCCAGTAGGATTTGTCAGAGAGTGGAACGTAAGTAATGGTTGGTTGACAGTTGGCGCTATCGAACCCTCCGAAGGTGATTTGTCCGGCAGCTCCTCCTTGACTTGGGGTAAGCTAGAATAATGAATATGTTTTAGATGATGAGGAGAAATGGAATTACCTTTCTGTCCAACCAGAAGGTGAACATAGGCTTGTCGAGTTGTGGAAGCATGTTTTGAACTGGTGGGACAACAGAGTCTACAGCGAGGGATGGCCATCCGAGTCCCATGATACCGTCAACTGGTTGGTATCCGAAGACATCAGCAATGGTGGTGGCGACTCCGAACTCTTGGGTAGAGTAAGTCAAACCGGCGAAGCTGAGAGTATCCTTAGCCAAATGACCAGCACAGTCACCAGAGCCATAAGCAATGCTGAACTTGGTGCTCTCGGATTGGTAGGTGGTGGACTTGGTGGTGTCGAATTTGTCCTTGGTGTATCCACTTCAAATTCATGGTTATGTTATGAAATACTCTTCTATGACTAACCTGTCAGCATATCCGTTGCAGGCATCAGTGGTACATCCGTTATCAATTACCCAGAGGTTAGAGGATCCAGTGTCAGGGACAATGGTGAAGCTTTGAGCTAATAGGGTGTTACATTGAGATATCACATGTAGAAAGGAATACCTGGAGTTCCAAGAGTGATGTTAGAAAGGTAGAAGTCATCGAAATAGTCAAAGACTGGTTGAGTTCCAGTGGCAAGCTTGGAGATACGGCTCTTGTGGAGGAAAGCAAGGTACTCGTGGTACTTATCCTCTCCTTGTCTTAAATAAGTTGTTAGAGAAGCATCACTGGTCTATAAAATACTTCAAGAGCTTAGCTCTGATTGAACCAGCGTTTCTGGTTTCCATTTTGAAAACTTCGGCGCTGGCCACCGCAAAGCATGCGGCTAAAAGAATGAAGGTCTTCATTCTGAAAAAAAAGATTGAGTAAGAATATTGAGAACTATAAGTAGCGAACAAGCGAAGAGCTTCCTAGGTAATCAGGTCTACTAGGAGGCTTCGCCACTTTTATGAAAGTCTTATCACAAACGGAGTTATTATCAGGCCTTATCTTACATTCGGGTGTATGAAATTGAAAACGGACCTTCAATGACGACATGTGAGTCGGATGAGTGGAATTGCAAAGTAAGATAAGATTGAATAAATAAACGTTAATAGATTGAGGACAGTTTTAGACTTTACTATAAAGGGCTTTCAATGGAATTTGAGATGAACTATGAGTAATCTCAATGGAACTTCCGTATGGCTTTGAACTCTACTGTTTCAGAGTTTAACAGTCCTTAGGTCATATATGGATTAATCTTTGACTCTGATGATAACAGACTACTTACTTCCATTTGTGTGATAACGTTTCGTTCTCACAGAAACACAAATCCACTTATGACGTAGGAGCTTATTGTGTTTGTCAACGAGCAAAATCAGCAGCCGATGTAGGAAACTCCAGATCAATCTAATCCTAGAGATTCTCTTTTTGCATTTCAAGTTTACTGATACAGTTCAGAAGTTACATCATGGAGGTTACTGATTAGAAGGGATTAGGATAGTTCACGTGGTCAGTTAAGCTGATTTTCATTTGAGCGAACACTTTTTTCCAGTGATTTCTATGATAACTGTATCGAACGATAAGACAATGAGAGTTGAGCTCTCCACCGATGTTTAATCTCTAATCTGTATTTGAATGATCGTTTGCAACTCAGGAAATAAGAGAACAAGTAATATTTTTTTCATATTTATTAATGTTATTATTATAATTCACAACTATTTTATTTATTGCATGGTGTGCTTGGCCTTGGAGAATCCAATGCGCTTCTGTCCAATGTCGTAAGCTTGGCAGTAGGTTCTGATCCAGGTGTCTCCGAGGATGAAGGATGGTCCGAAACCTCCAGTGTTCATTCCGAAGAAGGTAAGGGCACAGTTTCCGTTTCCGAGTCCGAGGTCAAGAACGTACTCGACAGATGGAACGTTGTAGTTGGCTCCTCCGATGGTGAAGACCAAGTCTGGGAGGGAGGATTGCTTGGAGCAAGAGACGGTGTAGAGTTCTTGGACAGCGTCGTACTTGGCTCCGGTTTGCTTGACGATTCCGGCGAGGACGTTTTCTGGGCATCCGATCCATGAGGTACCGGTGTCAGAGATAACTTGGTCCTTTCTCTTCTCGGAGTAAGATCCGATGGTGACTCCGTCAATTGGGAATTGCCAGTAGGTCTCAGCGGAGAGTGGGACGTAGGTGTAGGTAGCGTCACAGTTGGTGGTGTCAAGAGCTCCGTAGGTGAGAATTCCTCCGTTTCCGCCGTTGGATCCGTGGATCTTTCTGTCCATCCAGGCGGTGAAGACTGGGGCATCCAATTGGTTGAGCAAGTTTTGCATTGGTGGGACAACCTTGTCAGCAGCAAGAGCTGGCCATCCGAGTCCCATAATACCGTCAACTGGTTGGTATCCGAAGACAGTGGCGAGGTGAGTGGCAACTCCGAATTCTTGGGTAGCATAAGTCAAACCGGCGAAGCTGAGGACATCCTTTCCGAGGTAACCGTTGCAAGATCCGGAACCGTAACGAAGAGAGAATTTGCGATCCTCCTTGACGAAAGTGCTGGACTTGGTGGTGTCGAATTTGTCCTTGGTGAATCCAGATGCTGGGTATCCGTTGCAAGCTTGGGTCTTACAGGCGGCATCAATAACCCAGAGGTTGGAGGATCCAGTATCAGGAACGATGGTGAAGGTTTGAGCTGCAAAGTATTCGTAAATGAATGCGCAAGACTAGTTGAGCTACCTGGAGTTCCGAGGGTGATGTTTCCGAGGTAGAAATCATCAGAATAATCAATGAATGGTTGAGTTCCAGAGGCAAGGATTTGGGTGCGAGCCAAATTCTTCTCAGCGAGGTACTCTTGGAGAAGGTTTTGCCTTGAACATGACACATAAGAACTTGAACAGCAGTTGAATGCTTACTTGATCATTCTGGCGATCATAGAGCCGTGGCTCTTGGTCTCCATCTTGAAAACGGCGGCATTGGCGAAAGCGATCGCCAAAACGGCGACGACGAAAAGAGTCCTCATACCTGAAAAGCGAGAATGAAAAGTAGAACGTGTGGAGAGTGAAAGAAGATGAGATGATACTTTAACAGATATAGCTTGCCTATGGTCACAAACCTCTGGTATTTATACTTCATCTGGTCGTGGAGCCTTGTTATCAGTAAAAGGCGGTCCGTTAGCGAAATGTGGAAAAGTTATAAAATCGCGATACAAATTGTACCTAATAAAAGATTTTCTGATGATATGCTGATATCATCAGATTAGAAATGAGTTGAAAGTAAAACCATCCTGCTACCTAAACACCAGACAGACTTCTGACCCGGATCTAGTCCACCCAATAAAGTTCGTCCTCATTGTTCTGATAAAGCTGTTTGCGTATTCAGGTAAAAATGATCACAATACTGATGATTGCCATCACATTATTTTAATACTCATGTGATCGTAAAAATTGTGAGATATGCCTTCAGATGTCGTAACCACGCCTATAATGAAAACTGTTTTCTAAGATGCTTTTACAAGCTATCATCAAACAAAAAAAAATTTTATGGACAAACAGTAAAGCTTCTGGAAATATTTTCGCTGAGCAAAGTATATTTAGCCTGTCAACTCCTTAAGCTCATTATAACGATAAAAATTGAATCTTGCACTATCGCAGATAACCACCAAGTTCCTACTCAATGTACTTTAACGTTGTAAGGGGTTAGCTTTCTTTCTTACTTATGAAACGGTAGACCAACATTCAATTCATCAGAAGCTTTTTTGGTTAGCAGGTTATAACAGCTTATCAAAGACGACTCACAGTCATTAAAAGCAGATCACATGAATTAGTTTGCGTCATTACAAGTTCGTTATAACATTTTGTGATTAGGATAACAATTGCGCACCAGCACTCTCAACCTTCAAAGCGGAAACCGTCTTTCTGTTCTGTCCATTAGTTACGTACGTTTCTACTGCTCCGCTCTTACAGTATTCTCAAATTCAACAAGTTCTATGTTCATATTCTATTAGAGAGGAGAGATCTGCATCAGAGATTGTAATACTTGAAATCATCGGCTTATGAAGCACTGATAAGCAATCAACAGAATATAGTCTGTTCTATAAATTAAAAATCTGATTAATAACCAAAAGGTCCCGTCAAGAAAATGGTTTTACGAAAGCACGAAGGATTTGAGTATGCAACGGTGTCATTTACGAATTTGCACACGCGGTGAACGGTTGGTCAAGGCGGCGGAATTATTTCGAATCACATAAACTCTATTAATTTATTTATTGAATATGGAACACGTATATGCAGTGTTCCACATTGTTTAAATGTAATTAATAGTTATTTCAATTGTTATTCGGAGCTGGAATTGTTTCTCGTAAACTTGAAGTTCGAGATTGTTTTCCTGTGGCGACCTGTAAGATGTTTCACAAACAATTCTTATCAAAAAATCGATTAGTTAATAGTTGCAAAACTTTCTTGACAGTTTGATGAAAGCATTTCATATTGATATATGTCTTTTTTTTAATTTATTGAAGTAGAACAGTTATCACAGGAAGTTGAACGCTTTTGATTTCATTTTTTGGTTGTTTAAAGTATTATGTTGTTACAGGTTATATGAGTAGTCGAAGTCTGCAGTTTCTGCTAGTGTGCACACTAACTCTTTTAACATGTGCAGATACTGCAGTGAAAGTCAGCACTAAGCATGGTTCCATCACTGGTTTCAAATATACAACTACGCAAAAAAAGGATGTTGACGTGTTCTTGAACATACCATTCGCAAAACCGCCAGTTGGAAATTTGAGGCTTGAGGTTTTACTTACTATATAACTGTTTGTATATTTCGTTGTTCTTCACAGAAACCAGAGCCTATTGATAATTGGGGAGAGAGAGATGGAACCAAATTTGGTTTCGACTGTATTCCACATTTCGTTAATGCCTCAGTTTTCCCATCAAACGAAGATTGTTTGACATTAAATGTGATAAGACCAACCACAACGGTATCATATTTTCATTGAAATGAGCAGTTAGGAGGTTTCGAGTTTAAGCCTCCTTCCGATGGTTTCCCAGTACTCTTTAGTATACATGGAGGAGGTTATGAAGTTGGGTCGGCTAGTATATATGGATATAAGGTGCGAATTTGTCAATTTCTTTGGCAAGTTCTATTTACTTTCAGGGTTTTGCTGATTTATATGTACAACAAGATGTCATTGTCGTAACTACTCAATACAGAATTGGATTCTTAGGTAAAAATTGAAAGTTCAAATACGATGTTAGAGACAGCGTTACGAGAGAATACAGATAATGGAACATGTTACTATGTAGTAATCTACACCTTTTTTTTGAACTTGGGAACTTAAAGTTCTGAAGTGAATGCAACCGTCCAGCGCGAGCAGAAAACTATGAATGACTTTACGTGGAATAATTCACGTGGAATAGCTCACGTGGGGAAGTTCACGTGGGATAGCTTACGTGGGATAGTTCACGTGGAATAGCTCACGTGGAATAGTTCACGTGGAATAGCTCACGTGGAATAGCTGACGAATAGCTGACGTAGAGAAAGTCACGTGAAAGTGTTAATGTGTGGAAACTGACATGGACATCTCACAAGGAAGAGTTGGGATGAGTCACTTGTACAGAAACATAATTATTAATCATTATTTCAAAGTAAAGATCAACCAATAGTTTTAAGGCTTCCTTTCTCTTGAAAATGATGATGAAATTATCGAAAACCTCGGACTCTGGGACTTAGCCTTATCTCTCAAGTTGGTATAACCATTATTCGGGTGTACAGTTTATTTTCAGATTTGTACATGATAATATAAAAAGTTTTGGTGGTAATCCTGAAAAAATCACTGTTTTTGGCTACAGTGCAGGTTCTGCTGCTGCTGGTCAACTGTCTCTCAGTCCTCACTCCAGAGGTTTGTTGTATTATTTGCTCAAGGAGGCTGTACTCATTGCATTTTACAGATTATGTGTACTCTGCCGTAGAAATGTCGGGAAGCCCATTTGCTTCTTGGGCGTTAGGTCATCGTGTTCCAGAGGCTTCACTTGAACTTGTCAAAGTACTCGTTGATAACCGATTTCAGAAATTATCAATATGTGTTTAGGAATTGGGATGTGAGAAGAACACGAAAACTTGTTTAAAAAACAAAAGCGTTTCTGAAATGCACAAGGCTGTTTTGGCTGTTGTATGTGTTTGACTAACTTCTATCTATCACATTTGGACTACTTCAGGGTTTCACACGAGAAGATCTTTCCCTCATCAAGTGGGGTCCTACTATTGATGGTGATTTCTTCCCTGCCCCTCCCTCAGAGTTAATTAAACAAGGACGACCAGTTCCATCTTTATTGGGAATCTCAAACAAAGATGCTGGCTTCTTCAGTTAGTGTTAATATGTTCTTCAATTGAGAACTTATGATTTAGATCTTCTTGGGAAGTCTCGGTACATTCATGAATACTATCCTGGGGTTGAAGGCATTCGAACCTTTGGACCAGACTCTCTTGATAAATACCTAGAGGTGTATTCGACTATGGATTCTTCATGCAACTGTTTCTTTCAGAGATTCATTCGAGAGAAAGACTTCGGTCCCAACAGAGATAGAGTGATGTATGATATCAAAAAGTATTTTATCGACTCTTACGATGGAGTGAAGGACAGAGGATTCTATTTGGACAAGTTAACTCAGGTATGTTTCTTGTTCTTTCCTGTCATGTTCATATATTTATGCAGATATTAAACTCTTTGTGTTTCTCATCTCCCGCAGCAGAAGAACTTTCGCAGAAAACTGCTGCCGGTTGGCCAGCGTATGCTTATTCCTTCGATCATTACAACCCTGTAGTGTTTGAAGGGCATGATATTCCGGAGTCTGCAAGAGGTAAGGAGTCTCTCTATCGAAGCCTCATACCACCAGTATAGGTTCTGTTCACGCTTCTGAATTCGCATACATCTATAACCTTCCGATTCTTGGTAAATTCGAGATGGAGGATGATGAGAAGATTGTTCAAAATCTGATAGTTGACCTCATATTAGCAATGACTAAAACAGGGTAATGTTAATGAATAATTCGAGCGACTCATACTTTTTTCTAGGAAACCTACCGAATATTTCATTCCCGCTGGTGATACTAACACTTACCTGTCTATTACTCCTAAGCCTGATTTCAAACCAAGTTTCTATGGCGGTGAGTGATATGAATTTGAGGCTCTTATGTTTTCCGAAAAAATTTAAGATGAATGGAATTTTTGGAAAAGATTGAATGTTACTTATGGCTATGATTTGATCAGCTTGCCTGCCTCTCCCGCAGTTCATATGAAACTACATGAGGAACTCTAAAACTCTGAAACTCTTTAACTTATTGTTTATTCCGCTCTGATAAAACGAATTAATAAGATTCATATTTGAGTTTCTTTTCCCACTTGAGTTTAGGAATGAAAATATGAGCTGCTTTCTTGCCGAGTAATATTGTTATCCTCTCCGCAACGTCGCTTCTTTAAAACAACTGCCAGCTCGTTATGTCCAACATGCTCTAATGCTGGACAGATTTTCTTATCTCTCTTTCACGCTGCTCTCATAGCTTCTCTTTTTCTGTCTCTCCCCTCTCTCTCTTCACACAAATATCGAGGGTAAAGCTGAGAGAGATAGAAGAGCCCAAGAGAAGGGAGATTGAAGCAGCAACAACAGAGTGGGATTCCCGCTCAAAGAAGTTGTGGATCCATTGTAACCGGAGAGGATCTGGCTTTCTCTATGTGACACATTGTGTGTGTTCCCATTTTACAATTAAATTCATCCCAGCTTCATTCATGTTTCCATCATGTTTTCCTTTTTAACTCCTCCGATCTCGCTAGCAGTCTGCGGCCAAAAACAACTCGAACTGCTTCATCAATCGCCCAGCATTTTCTGGCAGTTTAGCAACTTTATTTGTTTTTTTGCTTTGTTTTCTCCTCGTTTCCAATTTATTTGTAGTTTTCCTTGTCAAACATGGCTAAATAAGATGTCGTTTGTCATCTTTACACCTAAGCCTCCGGATTTTGCTGGACAGATGCAAGATTCTAGTCAGTTATTAACGTTTCATATTCCTCTCGTCATATATCAATCTAATGTAAAACGACACTTTGCCGCTCTGAAGGTCCTTCCTCTTGACTTTAGCGTTTTTTGTGAAAAAGCCCGTTTGTTAGGCCACTTCCTGGTGACATCCTCAAGTCTTTACTAGATTTGGAGATTATGTTATTGACTACTTGTATACAAAGTATATTAAAAGCGTGTGCCCAGTGTAACTACTCTCACTGCTTCCGTTCGCCATCGAAGAATCAGCTATTCTTCCAACTGCCTCTTCAGTTTATGACTTTCTTCCCTTCAATATACCTCCGTGTAGCAAAGTTTCTGTCTTGTTATTGATTTCTACCCTCCTCCTTCCGTTTGCAATGTAGCTAATGAAACTTCTGAATACATAAATGAACACACAACGTTCTCACTTCACTGCTTTCAAGTCTTTAATTTTTCTCACTATCTTCACCCTCCCATTCAACAGGATCATATTTGCTGTCCTCGTTGTCCTTTGATTTGAGTCCGCTTGAAAACAAATTGTGAACTTGACTCTATGAAGTTCATTGCTGTTAAATTGTCTTACTCGCGTTCAATCTTGATTCAGAACTTTCTTAGATTCAACAAGTCGAAATGCAAAGAGTTTCACGTCGGACAAGTTTCGGTTCGACCACAAGTTTACGGAGGAGTAGTGTGTCCGCCAAAGATATACAAGCTATACAAGCGGCTCTACAGGTATCGCGTTCATATCTCTAGTTGTTTGATCATGGTACGGTTTCAGAAACAGCAGCGGCTATCAAGTCAAGTCGTTCTTTTATTACTTCCTTTAATTCCACTAATTTCATTCATCTATTTATATTCAATTCATCTTCATCAGGCAAGGTTCATTGTGGTAAGTTGAGTCTTTTAGATTCTCTGCTATCTCCCTTTTCATTTGCAGACGATGAAAGCTTTGTTCAGTCGATGGCCATTTCTTCTTCAGATCTTCCCTCCTGTATACGATTTAATTGCCTGGAAGATTGTTTTAATCTTTCTTTCTCTTCAATTACTTTTTCATTCGTTTCTTCCCCATGATGTTGTCAAGATCACATCATCCTCTGGTAAGAATTACGTTTTGTTTGTATTTAATGCATCATCATATCAAACTCTTGTCCATCTATCCTCTTGAACACGATACAAGTAATCGTCATCATCATGATTATCTGCTCACTAATTGCCTACTAGCATTCACCAGATCCCATGATACACGATTGAATTTCAGGAGAGTATAATCGAAATGTAAATGGTTTCGCTTCCTTCGTTCTTATCTCCCTCTTATATATCATGGGCAGTCTATTAGGTCTCTACAGGGGCGATATTCTATTCCTAAGATTCAACTCGGTCTTACTCATATTCTCTATCCTTGCCCTCTTAACGATCGCGATTCTCTGTGTTTGTTATAGACTTGGAGAGACATATAACAGTAAGTGCTTACATCTTATAATTCATGTAATTGACGGCTTTTCAGTTACGACTATTCAGGAGTTCTATTTCGGGATTGACGTTCATCCCATGATACTTGATATCGATATCAAATACTTCACGAGATCAAGGATAACTTATGCTATCTGGCCTCTTTTCATTATTTCAGCTCTTTTCTATCAATACACAGCAAGGGGGAAAATTACGAGTAACATCATCACCAGGTTTCCTTATACTTCTTCTATTGTAGAAGCTTTGATTGGACTTGCAACCACGCAGCTTCTGTACATAGCAAAGTATCATTGGAATGAGGACTTAGCTATGAGTTTTTTGGATGAGCGTCGAGCTCACTGCGGATTCTTTCGACTCTGGTCAGATTTAGTATGTTTTTCACTATTACTTTCTGAAAAGGATAAGCATTTCAGGTTTTCAATCCATTAGTCTATTCCTCACCAATTGTCATGACAGCTTATTCTGCTCAGCACTTATCATTGCTAACTTGCTCCATATTCACATTGATCGGCATAACTGCAATAACGCTAACAGCGATGATTGATCGTCAGAAATTTGAATTTCGGTGAGCTCCTTCTCGCGCCACTTAAAGTCACATGCAAACTTCATTTTGCAATTTGCGCACACACGATTCGGTTGCATTCGACTTTTTTTCCAATTACAACTTTCATTTTTTTATTTTCAGTGCTTCAAAGGGAGCGCTCAAAATCAAAGGAGTAGATGCTTTCTTCATCGCTGCAAAATATAAAACTGAAAGCGGTGAATCAGCAGCCAATTTACTTCTCGGTCAGTCTATTAGCTAATTTACGTTTTACGTTCTTCTCTAATCACAGGAAGTGGATTTTGGTCATACTGCCGACATCCGAATTATGTAATGGAGATCTTGACTTTCTTTTCTTTTGTATTATTTCAAGGCGAATCTCCTCTTCTAAGTTATTTTCCATTGATCTACGTGACGGGTGAGTAATAAGTTTCAAGAGTTGCAGAGATTGAAAATGTAATTGCAGGTTTTTTATTAGTTCGTTTGTTCAATGATGAGTCCCGATGTTTAGCTAAGTACGGTCAATATTGGCTACAATACACAAACAAAGTTCCTTTTAAAATTTTACCGGGAGTCTTCTAAAACTTTTCATTAAATCTGCATATTGATTTACAATAAATTCTAATATTGAGATTTTCTCGATTATGCAATTCAGAAAGATCAAGATTTCAAGGATATGATTTGATGATCACACCGGGAGAATATCACTAGTCGAAGCAACACCTTTAGAACTCGAATTTGAATTCTGATGAGCAGCTCGTCTACGAGCTGTTGTAGGATTGCTTCTTTTGGAAGATCTGGACTGAGTTGACGACCTACGAGTCGCTAATTGTCTTAAATCATCAAACTATCATGCTGACTTAGTGAAATGACTGACCTGTTGTTAGATGGATGACACTCGAAATAATATTCATCCAATAGTGCATCTTCATATGATGGTGGAGGAGAAGATCCACATCTGAATACAGGATGTTAAAGCTCATATTTTGAAAACATGCTATTCTTAAGAAGTATCAAACTCACTGTTGAGATGAATACAGCGGCGGAGAAGCTTCGCTCACGCCCTGTTTAACACCTGCTTTAGCTGCTGCTGCCGCTCTCTTGCGTACATTGCGTGCTTCTGAACACGTTTATGAGAAACATAATTAAAAAAACAAACTCACTTTGTATTGTTTTGAAATTCTTTTCACGTAAGCGAGCAGTAATTCTCTGGACTACCCTTCTTGTTCTTCTCATTTCAACAATCCGGTCGAGATCCCACTGCTTACATTTATTAATACCTACTAACATAGCTACAACCATTCCAATGCAAAACACTATTGTGGGAAGAACGATAGATGTCATTTGTGCATCTGAAGGCACAAAATCGTCCTTGTCCATGTCTGCCTGAAAATCATCTCATTATTACAGAAATCACGCAAGAGGTCATGAATTTGAATGATAAAGCTTTGTGAAACGGGATAAACGAAGGTTGACTAACTTGACTATAGGCTGGGCTGTGAAGCTGAGCCACTGGAGTTGTGTATGGCAGCATGCTTCACCAAAGGCTTGGCATTATCGATCCAACAGCATACATAATTTCAAACAGATGTGCTTCATGCTTCCTAAGTTACGAGTCACAAGGTCTTTTTCTTGGAATTCGAATGGCATTTATTAGAGATAGCAGGAATGCATAGCTGACAGTCAGGCCTGTGTTAGAGACTGTAACCGTAACTGTTCAATGTCTGCCTGCTCTAATGCTAACCGTGCGCGCGCCAATGCTAACCCGCGTCGCGTTCTGCATAGACTGAGTATCTAACGCTTAGTAATGCAAGCCGTGAAACAGGATCGTAGGAAAATCGAGAGGCCTAAAATTCTCAATTCTTTTGTGTCAAGTATTGGGAACTTTTATTTTTGTATTATAGTTTTATAATTATTGAGTTGTATGTATATGTTTGAACTGTTGAAAGCTATTTACAAATCGTAATTATCTATTTTCACCAAATTAAGTTATGGAAGTTGTTATCGCTCTTCTGTTCTTGTCCTTCTCCTATTTTGCATTTCTATCGTTTTCTTAATTTTTTGCTTTAGGGTTTCAAACAATGGGTCGCCGGATCAGAGTCCAGCGTAAGGGAGCTGGTGGAATTTTCAAATCCCACAACAAGCACAGAAAGGGTGCCGCTAAGTTGAGACCTCTCGACTACTCTGAGCGTCATGGATACATCAGAGGAGTCGTAAAGGAGATCATCCACGACCCTGGACGTGGTGCTCCCCTCGCCATCGTTGCTTTCCGTAACCCATACAAATACAAAACTGACAAGAGCACAATCATCGCTGCCGAAGGAATGTACACCGGACAGTTCATTTACTGCGGATCCAAGGGTTGGTTCTAAATTTGAATATTTTAAATAATTTGTTTTTTTAAGCTTCCGTCCAGATCGGAAACATCGTTCCAGTAGGAAACCTTCCTGAAGGAACCACCATCTGTAACGTCGAAGGAAAGTCCGGAGATCGTGGAAAGCTCGCCAAGGCTTCCGGTACTGTTACAGTACTAAGAAACAAACTTACTTGTGTTGTTTAGGTAACTACGCCACCGTTATCGCCCACAACCCTGACACCAAGAAGACCCGTATTCGTCTCCCATCTGGAGCCAAGAAGGTTGTTCAATCCGCCAACAGAGCCATGATTGGTATGTAGTTCATTAATTTGCGTTTTTAACGTAAATGTTGTTAGGTCTTGTTGCTGGAGGAGGACGTACCGACAAGCCTCTCCTCAAGGCCGGACGTGCTTACCATAAGTATAAGGCTAAGAGAAACAGCTGGCCAAGAGTTAGAGGAGTTGCCATGAACCCCGTTGAACATCCACACGGAGGAGGTAACCATCAACATATTGGTCACCCATCTACAGTCAGAAGAGATGCCAGTGCTGGTAAGAAGGTAAGATTTCTCGTTTTGTTTTCTCTTACTAATGTACCAATCTATAGGTTGGTCTCATCGCCGCCAGAAGAACCGGAAGAATTCGTGGAGGAAAGCCAGTCAAGTTCACCAAGGAGGAGACTGTTTAAAACCATTGTTTTTGTTGCGTATGAATATTGTTATAATGCTTTTATTCTTTTATACATTGGGGGGAGCATCATGAACAGAGGAAACACGAACAGTCGATGAAACTAAATTAGTATTCCTGGAGTCTATAAAGTCTATGTCTGCTGAATCCAGTGATAGTGGTGGGGCTCTGAAAAATATTCATCAATTAATTGGTACTGAGTGAAAAGATTACTTGGTTATTTTAACATGGGGAATTTGAAGCCTATTATTTCCTTTTCGCTTGTGCAGTCGGTATTTGCAACATCCTAGACATAACAGAAATAATGCTGCGATCACAACAATTCCCGAGAAGACTATCAATATACAGTTGAACTCTTCCTGTTGCATGTCTTCGGCGAGACTATAATTGGGATTTCCAATAAGTTGACCGTGAGACCTTCAAGTTTTCAAATAAAAAAAGAAACGGTAAGATATAAAACGACAATTGCAACGATGAGATTACATTTGCACATGCGGATATGCTAATTTCGGCGCGTGAACTAAGAGAGCAGTCATTCGACATGGTGCGTACGCATAGGACGGTTGTGTAAAAGGTAAGAGTTTTTATATTATAACGTAACTTTCGTCAATCATTAACTAGATGGTCGTATGTGTTTTTGAAAAGAGAAATTAGAAGAGCATTGAGATTTGGGAGTTGTCAGTACAAAGGTGTGTACCTAGTAATTAAAAACATCATAATTTGGTCAAAGATAGAGAAACATGTTATTGAAATAGAGAAAAAATCATTCATTTTCAGCTGAAAGCCGTTTTGAGAGCGAAGAGAATGACAAGTGAGGTGCAAGAACACTGAGCTATCATCGAGGCTACTAGGCATCTGTTCGATAAAGTGCAACAAAATCAAGGTTAATGTTAAGCAACGAGATTAAACAATGTGGTTCGAGATTGAGACTTCCGTTGAAACGAGATTGGAATTATGACTTGAGACGAATTTGTATGAGATAATCCTCAAATTTCGAAGAGTCCATTTGAGAAGCAGAGGACTATTACGTCACAAATCGAAAATTTGGCTAATGAGCTTTAAAACGAAAGTTGGAGGGTAATGTACACCCGGCTGGGAAGGAATTTGGTTTAGGTAAAGAACTATTCACCCTCACAATCAATAAGTAATGGATTTTGTGTAACAACGTGCATCGAAGGAGGCGATACAGCGATGATGGTGTTAAAGCTGTAATCTGTCGTAAAAGAACATAGTTGAAGTGTGGAGTGCAGAGAATATTGGCCAACTGAATGCCTCCATTAAAAAGTAAGCAAAGTTCAAATAATAGTTTTTTCTGTTGTAGAGGCATGGTTTGAAAAGGAAGAGTACTTCCGCAATATGTGGTAGCAAAGATATCTCACTTTTCTGAACGTACGCGCCAACTGCTCGTAGAAGATGGGAGGAGAATATACTGCTCGTAGTTTTACTTCTTCTTACTCAAAAACGAACATTGAAGCATAATGAGTTCAAGTTCTTTCAGAACAAGCGAATTCATAACGCCACATAGAAACGTAGATGAAAGACTTTTGCACTCAAAACTATCTAGGATGAAAGTGTGTGTGGGGGAGGATATACTTGCAATGACCGAATAGGTTCTAGAAGCAACTTCGATATCTGCTTTTGAGCGGCTTTTGATGAGAGCTAGCAAAGAGTTTTGCTGACAGTTGAAGAAATATCGTGATGTGAAGAATATGCTTAAGAAATGTGTGCAATTTGGATGACCCCATTGGTTTTTATCCTCTTGGGAGCAAAAAACCTTCCAATGATAGGAAACATGAAGAAAGTAATCTGATGGTTGTATCTCTATGATTGATTTTCTGGAGCACATTTTGTGAAAAAAAGAAAAAAAACGGTAAACAGCTCGGCAACTTCAATAAAAGTGGAATACGAGTAAAAACGTGAGGAGTATGAGAGGAATTGCTACATGTCGCGTAACGCAAACATTACGATGAAAAAAAATGTCTTTCGCTCATTGTCTTCTGGTGAGAGAAATTAAGAAGCCTCCTCCAGCCAGTCGAACTTTTCATAGATAAGCCCATAGACGGCAAAATAAGAACTCAAGGTTCCCACTTTGAAAACAAAGCCGAAGAGGATATGTGATACTTCTTGACGCATCTCAGTTTGTGGTGACCATCTGCACAAATACATGGAAACTTCAGTATGACGAGAAAATTTGATCCCAGATATGTGATGTAGTGGTTCATTTACTCAAACGACCTCGGAGCTATTTGATCTTATACCATAAAAATGTTTCTTCGCAATAATGAGCAAAAAAAAAGACTAGTGAATCATTTTTTCATAATTTGAAGATAACAGCTTTCTTCGGCAATTGTCTGATCGCCCATAGTCACCTGCCTTTCCTACACAGAAGTTCTGACCCACAAGTAGTTCACTTTATCTCTGCCGACCAATTTGAAAGCTATGTGCACTGCGTTTACGCGTAATTTGTGTAGCATCGTTCGATTTTTTGTTTCTTTTTCACAGAATTTAATTATGCTAATTTAACTTTTTGTATTTATTGCAGCTTTAAACTGAATTGTTCCAGATTCTATGAATACTCTGAAGCTTGTTTATTTGGGTAAAAATGATAGAGCTTATTCCAATGTAGGTAGAGAAACTACAATGCTTGTGCAATCCGAACAACTAAAACCTAACCCTTCTACGGTTTGTGTTATCAATGTTCGATTGTTAAACACAGTTTTCGATTTAAGAACAGATCTTATGTAACTTATCCCGGTACCAGTGCTTCACATACAACTTCTAGTCGTGTAACTCCTGCTAAACCCAATTGCAATGGGAAACTATCCGCCATATATAGTACTATACAGAGAGAGGGAATGCCACCACTTCAACGATGGCTTTGCCAGTATGCTAGTTCTTACAAATTTAAAATGTATATCTATATTTCCAGAGTATGCCGCAAAACGTTATCCTCCAAAAGGTCATATAAAGAACATATGAATATTCACAATGATTCCAGACCGTTTCAATGCGAACATTGCCAATATGCCGCAGGCGAGTTATTATTTTCCATTTTGTAATCTCACTGTTTATTCGATTCTCATTTACATAATCTGTGCCATATTATGTTGCCACGTTTACGTCAGATTTACGTGACGTGGTTTCAAACTGTTTACTTCACTTTAATTGTTCCGATTCTGCGTGTCGGTTGAACTCAGCTGCCTCTCCTGATTGCTCCGAATTGTTTTTAACTTTATCATTTCAGCGAGTCAAATGACACTCCGACGACACGTTCTTCGAAATCATACTAATAGAAAAGATTGGGGATATAGATGTCCTTATTGCCCACAGTCCTATATGGAGCCCGCTAGTTATCAGCAGCATGTGCAGTAAGTATCCATGTCACTTTCTCAATGTCTTTCTACTTTTCCCAGATCGAGGCATTACGGCCGATCAGCAACTTATGGATGTCCTTACATCTTATGTAATTTTTCTTCCAAAAGTTTTCGCCATTTCCGTGAACATTTAGCTAAGCATGAAATTTATGAAACGTTTTCTGGTAACTTCAAATCCATGCCCTTCCGCATTCAAGTTTTTCATTTCAGGTCCTTCCGATTATCTCCCATATTCTTGTCCTGACGATCTTTTGAAGAGGTATTTAATAAACGACGAATATGGTAAGTTACAGTTTGTGAGCAGTTTATTATCAAACGCTTTACAGGGCTGGGATATGCCTCATCTAAAAAACAAATTCTACTCAGTAGACAGAAAGCAGTAATATATACTAACGATCGCATTGTTCGCGGGCATGTTATGCTTGAGGATCAAGATAGACCTGATTTCATGAAGGAGCCATTGAAAATTAACCCGGCACCAATCGCTAGAAGAGTTATACATGAAGTTGAAGTGAGTAGAGCTATCACGTTTGGCTTATTAAAGTATTGTTCCAGCGCGTGGAAGAAGATCTCTACGACGATATGCCACCTATCCTCGAAGAACAGGAGATGATGCCTGCTGAAGCAGATTGGATAGAAGCTGAGATTGAGGTCAGTGCTCTTAGATATCGGGTGTACTTTATCAATCTGCTATAGGTTACATCTAACGAATTAATTCGCTTACCCGATGGACAGATTGAACTAGAACTCGATTAAGTTTGTAGTTGGAGCTGCCAGGATGCTCTTCTTAGCCTAAATAGACGGGTACATACTGGGTTTTAAATTCCTAATATAAAATACACTGTATCGATGCGGGAACATGTTTCATAGTGTATAAATATTAACGATAAGATTTTTATTATTACGAAGATTTTCATTCTTCCTGATACCTGTAAACCTCATTGATACTGTTTTATTTTGTTTTCAGCCCTTTCAGAGTTATTACTTCCGATGGTCTGCTGTAAATATTATTAAAGTTTTTGTTTTCTATAGGTAATCGTCCGCACTCTTGCTTCATCAACAATGTACTTTCAGATTTCCCAGAATGGACATTGATGTAACTGTGCCATCTTCGTGTGATCTGAATTTGTCACACTCTGCGATTGAGCCCATCCCGGCCCATCTGATTACCCCCGATGATCAAAGTAATAGCTCGAAAGGGTCTTTGAGCCCAGCGGAAGATACCGCTAATACTCCAGAGCAATGGCTCGTGGAGCCCAGTCCCACCAGTTGCGGAGTTTTGTTGAATAATCAACTAGTGAGTGATTTTGTTATATCATCCATTCAATCAAGCGCATTTTTCAGAAACTATCTGTTGGCTGTGATGAGAGTGAAGATGACGAGGAAGAGCAAAATGGAAGTGCAGATAATGCCGACGATTTAGCCGAAAAAATGAAATGGCAAATGCAATGTGGGCCATCCCGATCAGAGGTAAGTCTAGCCCTATCTGTTCAATGTGTTCTTATCGATCTGGTTTCGTGTCATTCGGGGTTGAGCTTCATTTTGTGTTTGTATTGCTGTTTTTCTAGTTCTCTGATAATTTCGATGTAACTCTCACGGCCGAACGCATCAAAGCTATCATTCAAGGAGAAGGACTGGTGTTCCGACCCGTAGAAGAAGAAGCAGTAAGCGTTTGAAATTATGAATATTATAATGGTTTTGTTCTAGTTTGTAGATGAGGTGTTCAGTGAGAAAAAACCGAAAATTTGCAACGGATATTTGTTTGGCGATGTTATCGGGGAAGGATCCTACGCTAAAGTGAAGGTATTCATTCTTCATGTGAACAGTTTTAAATGGTTTTCTTTGTTCAAGGAAGTAGTTGAAGAATTTTCTCTCGTTCGACGAGCTGTAAAAATCGTGAAAACAAATAGGCTTCGTAAGATTCCAAACGGGCAAGAGAATGTGGAACGCGAAATCAGAATTCTTCGGAAAGTACAGCATGAAAACATAATCCGTCTAATTGAGGTTGTTCCTTGTTACTTACCCATGTTATGTAATTCTTCCAGGTTTTCCGAAATGACGAGAAAAGGAAGCTATACATGGTTATGGAGTTCTGCATGGGCAGCGTACAGCAGCTATTAGACGCAGCACCTTTGAAGCGTTTGCCAGAACCGGAAGTTCATTCATATTTTCGCCAGCTTATTAGAGGGTAAGGCTATATAAGTCTATACTTCGTTTTTGAACCGCTTTTTTCAGTCTTGAGTATCTTCACTCCATTGGCATCGTTCATAAAGATATCAAACCAGGCAATCTACTTCTATCTCCTGAATTCGTGTTGAAGATATCCGATTTCGGAGTTGCCGAAGAGCTACCACTATTCGCTGTACGTGAACACTTTTGATTCGCTCTCTTATATGGTCATATTGTAGAATAATGATATATGTCATACAGTACAAGGCACACCTCAATTCCAAGCCCCAGAACTGGTGTCAGGCAACACTACATCTTATAGGTTTGATATGCTTCACTCCTATTATATACTCTGATGCATCTTAGTGGTTTCAAAGCAGACGTTTGGTCTTCGGGAGTTTCTTTGTATAATATGATATCTGGCGAGTATCCGTTCCAAGGAGAGGTTTGTAGTTCTCATCGTGCTGGTTTCATTTTACGATTGCTTTTTAGGTCATAATGAGATTGTTTGACAATATTGCAAAGCAACCGTTAGTGATGCCAACTACTATTGTTCTAGATGAATTGCTCCAAGAGTGAGTTCAAGGAAGTTTGAGTGATGTAAGAGTTGTTTACAGACTTCTGATTGGGCTATTACAAAAGAATGCTGTATCACGATGGTGTTTGGATCAGATTAAAACATCCGATTGGTATAGGAAAACGTTTTTCTCGGTTCGTGTCTCCTGTCTATTGTTCTTAAACCATAATAATTAAAATTCAGGATGCCCCATTCTCAACATTTCCTGAAAATCGAAAGCACTCAGTGTTTCGACCATTGAGTGTTTCGAAAGCATTGGAACAAATGTATGGCGCCGGAATTCCACAAGATCGATTGGTAGCCTCTAACGACATGGATGGTAAGAATTGAAAAGTCCAACATGAATTCGAGCGCCATATTTAAGATACCATGCAGAGTGTTGCAGGAGCGAATTCTTCATCAAGAGAAGAGAGCAGAAAAACTCCATCGTATCCACGAAGGAATCGTTCCTTGTTAAGCTGTCTTTTGCCTAATCGATCTCCTTAGATTTATAATTACCATATTTGGAACGACATGAGCCTCATCACACGTAGTAGCTTTCGAGCTAGGGCTTCCAATTCTGCGACACTTGTATATATTGAAATTAGCGGGTTCTTTTGAAAACATGTTTGATTTTAAAGTTAGTAGAGGTGTGCTCGTTTGAAAAAAAAGCGATAGTTTAATCTGTTTTGAATCAAAGAATAGTCTATTTCCCTGCTGACTCCCTTTTACGTTACTATTCTTTTTTAGGCTCCCTCCATATTTTACGTTCTTTCTTTTCATCTTGACCCCCACGTTCTCAGAGATCTTAATCTTTTACTAGTTGATGACAACCCTCCTGTCCTCTTGACTGTCATTATAGTCTGTACCCACAATCAATTGTTGATGTTATACTTAATATTTTCGATTCGCCGGTGATTTGATGTGCCTGTGATTAGAGCTCTTCTTTGCCATTCTTGCGCAAATCCATACTTGTCTCTCCCTCTGGTGACTAATTTATTAATCTGTGAGTGATATGTGTACCCTTCAATATTTCTTCGAAATTGCTCATGTATCTATATGTGTGTATGCATGTGAGTTTTTCCAAATAAGGAGTCTGCTGCTCGGTCATCGCTAGTTTAGCCAAGTTGTAGGCAGCTCACATTATACTAATATCGTCGATTCATCTCTCCCTTTCTCTCTTCCCTCCCTCCTTTTTTCTCGTTGCCCTTTCACGTGTTTGTTGTCTGTTCTTTCTGAATCATTGTATTCGAGAGTGAGAGAGAGCAAAACTGACCGTATGTTATCAACGTATAGATTTTTACAAACATATCATAATACATTTCACTATTGTCTCAAACAAATAATTCGTCATAGCGAATGTCGTAACGGGCATTATTTCAACTTTTTTTCCGCTTGTCATATCATCATATATCCTATTTTAGTATGTCAGTTGTGAATGTGTTCACTACCTCTGCGACTACTGAGAATCTCTCAAGGCATGAAATGCTTTTATGGGTATGTTCATTTCATCATTTGTATCATTACATGTATCTCTTTAGGTAAACGATTGCTTGCAAAGTAATTTTTCTAAAATCGAACAGCTACACACAGGAGCTGGGTATTGTCAAGTACTGTTGTCTGTCTGCTCATGTGTTTCTGAAACGTTTGTTTAGTTCACTGATTTCTTGTTCCCCGGAAGTCTACCTCTCAAGAAAGTTAAATGGAATTCCAATTTGGAGTTGGACTGGTTAGGCAACTGGAAGGTATATTCATTTCCTCCTACTCTTGTATTTCGTTTTGTTGTAGCTCGTACAAACTTCATGGAAACAACTGGGAGTTGAGAAAGTTGTACCTGTTGATAAGTTGATCAAAGGAAAGTTCCAGGTTTGTTGTCTATTCAGTAAAGCTCTAAAATTTGACATTCAGGACAATTTCGAATTCTTACAATGGTTCAAAAAGTTCTTCGATGCTAACTACGATGGACACGAGTACAACCCTGTTGAAGCTCGAGGAAATGAATCTCTTCCTTCTGAGCCAGTAGGTAAACAAACTGTTACTCGAATGCAACCTCCTACAAGAACAGCTCCCACTGTGTCGGTCATTTTAAGCTGAAACGATGTTAATTATCCCATTTAGAAGGCCAGTCCCTGCACGTAACACATCCACCAATTCGGTGAACAACGTTGCAAGTCCAAAACCAAGAGCAGCCCCCACTCCTCGTACTGCTGCTGCTCCCGCACTAAAACCTCAATCCAATGGTGTTTCTAAGGTTCTAAAGCTTGTTCGTCGTTGAAATAACTTTTCTCTCATAGGTTGCTCCACCCAAGACCGCTAGTACAGCTCCAGCACAAACTGCTACACCTTCCGTAGATGCCATGCAAATGAAACAACTTAAAACAGATCTTGAGGAGGTTGGTTATTAAATTGTTCTCAATTCAAACGGTAGTTTCCAGGTCAACCGACAGCTATGGGAAGCTGATGCAGTGACAGCTAGCTTGGAGAAAGAACGTGACTTCTACTTCAGTAAGCTTCGTCAAATTGAGGTAACATGCAACAGAATATGATTCATCTCGTCAATTTCAGGTTTTATGTCAAGATAATGAGACTGTCGGAAATGTCGATGTGGGACGACTGCTAGCTATACTTTATGAAACCGAAGAAGGGTTTGCACCTCCGGATGAAGAGGAAGCTTAAGAAGAGCAAGTATATGAAATATGAAATGACTGCTTCTTGTATCTCATACTCGCTCCCTATACTAACTTTCGCATATATGCATGATTGCCAAGTTTAACGTGTCTGAAGTGCTTTGCCTATATATATATATATATGTGTGTTACTCAATATTTATTCATTTTAATCTGAAAGATTTTCATAAGTTATGTTTGACACGAAATGACAAAGTCATTCTCGATAATTCACATTCTCATAATTGCAATCTTTATAGTTTAATGACATTGTTAATAAGAATAATCAGTTGGTAGGAGTAAATAGTTATTTTTTGGCTTTCGACTCCTTTTCTACCTCATCGTTCAGTCGATATTACCTTTCAATTAGATCTCAATCAAAGCTCATTGTCGTTTCAGGTATCATGGCTTCTACCGCTTCAAATCCATCCACACTTCTCCCTCTCGAACTCGTCGACAAGTGTATCGGATCCCGTATTTGGGTCATCATGAAAGGTTCGAGTTATCACTGATCTTCCTCAATCACTCCTGTTTTTCCAGGAGAGAAGGAAATCGTTGGAACTCTTACCGGTTTCGATGACTACGTGAACATGGTCCTGGAGGATGTCGTGAGTGCATAACTCATCAAGTCGCTATGACACACAACTCCATTTCAGGTTGAATATGAACAGACACCCGAAGGAAAAAGAATAACTAAACTAGATTCAATTCTTTTGAATGGTAATCACATCACTATGTTAGTCCCCGGAGGAGAAGGACCAGAAGTTTAACTACTTCCCTATCATTTATTTCCCTCGTTATGTTCATCTCATCTCACTATACGCGGTGTTTTTTTGTAGCTGTTAACTGTTTGCGTTGATGAATAAACCTTATGACATAGATTTCCGATGTCATTTCGTGTTTAATTATGACATTGTATTAAATAGCAAGTTGTACCAATCATGTCTATTCACACATTCCTTTCATGACAACTCGGTACATCAGTATTACAACTGTGGAACTTTGCTAAAAGACCGGCTCAGATTTTGTTTTCATTCCTCGTCCTGATTCAATAAATACAAAATGATAATAGCACATTTAGTTCATACACACACCCACACACGTAGTGAGTTCGCAAATTGTGTGATAGACGGTATCATTCCGTTGTACTGTTGTGCTTTACACACTTTTGGAATAGTTGAAAGAACGTCCGATTTTGTGCTCCACTGCTTCCTTAATGGAACACAAGAAAGTATTATTCGCTTATCTTATCAGTAGCGCTTTTAAATGTCGGAGCATCTTTTCTTCTGTGCACATGATATACTCTCTCTCTCTCAAAAAAAGTTGTTGCTCTTTGATTTTTGTCAGTTATTTCCTTCTGCGTAACATTTTTCCGCGTATTTGGAAAGGCATAGTCATGACTAAACACATTTTCCAAGGAAAACAATTGTTTTCCTAGATACTTGTGTTCTCATCTATTTATTTTTCTGTTTATATTCCATTAATTCTAGTTGAACATTACAGAAAAATGCCAGAAGGAGTTGAATACCTCGTTGAGGGAGTTCAAGTAACTAAAGCCAACGTCGAGAAAGTGTTACAGGAAAATTTTGGCGTGCACGCGAAAATACTCGAGGTATTTGAAAATCTCAACGAGACATTACTTACAATAGCTTACAGGCTTCTCCTCTCGGTAAGGATGCTATTGGTTACATGTCAGTTATTCGTAGACTATCTCTTCAATGGCCTACTCATCGTGATGACCTGCCAGAATCAGTTATTATCAAGGTTACTAATTAATAAGTTAACTAATAAGGTTGAATATGACCTCTGAATGAAGATGTATAATATCCGACTGCTGTATCATGTATAGTCGGATTTCTTCATGCAGTGTCATTAGTCACAGCGAGTTTGTTGATCAATGCAGAGGCTGGTTTGAATGAGAGAAATACAGAACAACTTCGACAAACTACTCTTCTGTATTTAGAAGTAAAGAACTCCGCTTTGCACTTCAGTCATGATTGAGTTCAAAAGTCGAAGAAAATCGTTTCGTCAAATGATTTGCGCTGATTATTCAGTGATAAAATGCTGTTTTGACAGCGATAAAACGAATTAAAATATAGTGCATATACTCTAGTCTGCATTTCCAGATTACGTCTTCATCGTCTGTTAAAGATGCACTCGACAGGTCAGGCCGTAGATCAGGAGATCCTTCGAAAGCTGAAGAAGAGGAGAGAATCATGAACTTCTTGCAGGCATGCATGCACAACAATGAAGTCACTTATCTAAGGAACTTTACTAAGTGTTAGTCTGCAAGCGTTAGAGACGATTACTGAACTATTGTATTGCAGTTCGTGAGGAAGCAGATTTCTCGTATCCGATCACTCATTATACTGGTGATTACGGTTCAGACAACTCGTACATAGTGCTTAAAGATTATAAAGACTGCAAATTGATTGATCTTATTGACGGGTTCAATGAGGAACAGGTGAGTTCTGATTCATCGAAACGTTGTCATCAGTGATCTATTTACAGTTATATGCTATCGTCGACCAGATTGTGAAAATTCAGGCATATGGTTTCACGAACTCCGAATGTAGTCTCATTCCGATCCCCCCAGAGGTTTGAGTTTATCAGAATAACTTATAAATCGTAAACTCACAGAGGGTGGCTCTGATTTCTGGCTTTGTCAATCACTTGTTGGTGTCAGCAAGAGCTTTGCATGATAAGTACCCGAAGGTTTTTAAAAAGTTGAAGGTTCAACGCAGCCTGTAAATAATTTTGTTCAATACAAGTTTGCAGACTTTCCTTGATCACACTTTCACTGATGGCGTATCAGATATGGTTTCACAAAGAATTAATTATATTAACCGAGGTTAGCATTAAAGCAAACATACCTTTGAAAATGGTGGACAGTTGTTTGAAAACAACCGTGTCCAGCTTTGCAAAAAATAAAAATAACGCCACGTGCCTCGCGCCACGTGAACATGAACATGACGTGGGATCAGTTGCGTGCATGCTAATATCTGTTGTTTTTGTTTTCCGAGTTTGAGTTAGCAATCGATAATTATCTTTTTCAGTAGGAAGATGGTCTCTTGTACATGGGGACCTTTGGGCTCCCCAAATATTGTGGGATGATGATCGAACTATTGGTGCCATAGTAGATTGGCAGGGTACAACTTGTGGAAGTCCAGTGAGTTAAAGCTGTCATTTGCATGATGTTGTTGGTGGCTTAAGGTTGAGGATATACTACGAATCTTGACCACTTGTACAAGCGTGGAAAACAGGCGAAGACTAACAAAACCGTTGTTGGATTATTACCATAGAGAACTCACTAAGGCATTGGCAAAGAAAGATTTCGAGATTCCTTTCACAAGAGAGGATATTGAGGTATGTTTTCAGATATTTCCCATGCTCTCATACTGAGGTTTAAGCAAGAGCTTGTTGATTTCTACCCATGCTCACTGATGTCCTGTGTTTTCGCAAACTCTTTCTGGGATAAAGCTGAATTGCTGAGTGGAGAAGGCCGGTACGTGCTTTTCTACATTTTGTTCAAATCATTTCAATTTGAAGAATGGACGAATCTTTCTCTCGACTTGCCGCATTCATCGATGATGTGCTCCAGTCGAAGGGTTTGTAATTTCCGCTGAAACCTATTCTGATGAGGATTTTTTGTGACTTCAATTAACAAATTTGTACAAAGTTGCCAAATAAAGAAAAGTTCTTTGCTGAACGAAAAGAGTTTTATGATTATGTACAGATATAAGTGATCTCGCTTATGATGCTTTTGAGGAGAATTTATCATAATAACTCCAAACCAACTAATTGTTCTAAATCCTCAATGGCATCCATTGTGTTGTTGACCTGTGAGAAGGGCAATGACATTGATAGATACATGCTCACACTAACCTGTATAGTATGAATTCCCAGACTGGCTGCTGTTTCACAGTTTGTATGTTCGTCATCAAGCATGACAAGCTCTTTCGGTCGGAGACCCGTTTTCTTCATAACTATCTGGAAGGAATAAGCGATTCACTATTACATCAGCAGATGATTACTTTGAATATTTGAGGATCAGGCTTTCGGAAACCTTCCACACACGATTCTATCACGAAGTCAAAGTAAGGATTGAGAGCTTTGATTTTTCTCCCTGAAACATGGGAATACTTGATTTGAATATGCAACTAACCTTGTCTAGAGTAGTCTACATGAAAAGTGTTCATTAGAAGAATTGTATAGACTCCATTCTCTCTTAATCGGTTACAAGCGTTTAGAGCTATCTCTTCCTTAGACATCAATGTTCATTACAGGTTTCCAAACAAGGAACTCACGTATACAACTTCATTATCATATTTTTGATGAGAATAGAGGGGGAAGAAGCTCAGGTCAGTGTTGTTCTGCAATACATATAATGGCTTTGTTTCAGTGAATAGTAACTTACTTTCTTATTATAAGCATTTGTGAAGAGTTGGTCCAGTTCTACAGCTGTGAAACTACCAGTCAGGAAGTTATCCGTACAATCAGGTGGGATAACATTATAAAATATGTCACTACTTAACGTCTCCATGATGCTTCCCTCATCCAACCCCATATCTTTCTCGATTACTGAAAGTGTGAAAAACAGTTGAGTGTTCTACGAGTCCTTTTTGAATTGAAACTAGAGGGGAGAATTTCATTATCTTTCGTCTTCTCGTAATGAATGATTGATTATCAGATGACCTTTGATCATTCGAATGAAGTAGGATTCCGGAAAACATTGTCATTCAGAAATAACAAATTCCTATTTATGGTTTTGTACCCAAAAACAAGAAAACCTTAAGCTTGTTCTTTCCCTCGCCCTTTCTCATCATCACCTCTTTGTTTGTCCAAAAACTGTTGAAACTGTTTAGAAAACATTCCTCTCAAATCTGCTCTCTCGAAGCGTGCCGAGCATTCTCCAGATTTTTGAGAAAAACAAGTCATTCCTAATGAAAATGAGAATGTGTCATTTGCATTTGATGAAAATCTTGAGGAAGAAAGGGAAGAGAGAGAGAGGGGGGAGACTGTTTGTGACGTTCCCTTTATTGAAAGAATAAAGAAACTTACATCGATAGAGATGAGTATTGCGGGAATGAAGCCATAGAACTTCACTGTAATCGAAGATGACGCCTCGGATTGTCGTCGGAGTTGAGAAGGATGATGGTGTGGTCGTTGTCGTCGTTGATTTTGTTTGAACACAACCCATCCAAATATCTTTTTGGCGCTGAAGCAGCTAGTATGAGAGGAGTACATTTGAGTAAAAGTTAGTGCTAAACATATTCTCTTCAGAATTCTCTGAAAAGCAGATTTACACCGAAGGAAATTCGGGGGACGCGAAAAGTTTGGGTGGGGGGGGGGGGGGGGGAGGGGGGGGTGGGGTTTGGTTTG